CCCATACTTCACCGATACACAACGCGAATCCGTACCGAAAATCTCCCAGCTTTCGAAAAACTTCATTCCAGCCAGGGTCTTTGACTTCCGCCTTTCACCTATAAGCAATTCGTCTATAAAATGCTCAAGTTGATGATTCCTTTATTACCAATGGCAGATTTGAGGATGGAAGAAGTTGCGGCGGTTTTTAATACAATGATATATCATATCTCCTATTTTTAAATCGTCATGACACAAGAGATGCAAATATGCAATATACTCACTCCTTAAAGTGTTTTGAAGGATCCTCCATGTAAACTTTCTCTAAGAATTCTGGTTGCTATGCTCAAAACTCTTATTGTAAACTGTTTATCGCATATTCTTTCTGTAATTATTAACGTGTATGTTTAGCTTTATGCTTGGAGTGATCCACCAGATAGTGGTAGCACTATGGTTATCGAATGTTCAGATAACTGCCAAAGGAGATGAAAGAAATAAACGGGCAATAAATTATACTCGAAAAAAAGAGAGACGCTCTACATAAGGACAGGTCGCAGGTCGAAGTGTCTGTTCTCCTGATCACTCATTGCCGGTCTGTTTGATAAATGGTCAGATCCCCAAGAGATTGAGAGATGAAGTTTTCTATGGTAAGTCAAATATTTGGTATTCAATAGACAAGCCAAAAAGTTAGGTTGCGCAGACAATGAATTATAATCCACCAGTTCACTGTTATAATAAGATAGTGGTTCAATAAAAATGCAAATGATTATAGAGATTTAATAATATAGTATAAAATGATAAAATAAAACAGTCAATGCCATGCAATTAAAACAAAAATATAATCCTTTAAAATACAAACAAGTAATAAATCAATCTGGAATTCTCAAAAAAAGTTTCTGTATAAATCCATAAACAAAAGTAACAAATAAACAAAAACAGTATTCTTTGAAGCAAAAATCTAATGCGAGCCACGTAGCGGTCTGAAAAAAATACATATTGTCATTCAAAATAGATTTCCAGTATATAGTGAAAATGTTTATTATACGCGAAGCCTGACCAAGTAAGTTTTCCAAGAAGCTTTGTGAAAACAGTTTAGCTAGTGTTTGTTTTCAGTGACAACAAAAACAACACGAAAATAAACAAAAAATCGGGCCGATTTTTTTTCTTATGATGCGATTAGAGGTAATGATAGCCAGCCTTCTAAATGCGCTAATGTGTTTTAGGGGTAGTAGAAAAGAGAAGGGGTATCAGATAATTGACAAAATGCTTTGTTGTATTTTCCACCATGGTTATGCGATTAACGGTTGGAGCAATTATTGTACGGAGCCAGTTTTAACGCATGTTATATAATACAATACGCTATATAAAATATCTCACCAGTATGCGATAGGATGACCTTCTGCGTCTATGTAGGACTGCATCCTAGTCCGCATGCTGTCCACCAAGTCCTTGCAGATATCCGTTCCCAGGAAGGATTCCCTCTGCCTACAATGAGGGGAGCGGTCCGCCAGCGCTCCACTTTTGGACCATTATACCCCATAGATTCTCTATTGGGTTAAGATCTGGAGATTTAGCTGGCCACGCAATGACAATGTTATCCTCTTGTGCAAGATAATTTAGCACCATGTGTGACGTATGAACGGCGGAATTATCTTGCACAAAACTGATTCTACCTTGTGGATAGAGAATTCGGTAAGATGGTGTTGAGGATAGGTAAGCAAAGCAATTCAACTCGCAGTGGTCTTCGGTTCAGAACAATTTTTCTTATGAATGTGAGTGGAACAATCAGCGGGTACGCTTATGCAGTCGGTGGCGCGGTACCTCAACGACAAAAGCAGTATTTTGTGTTTTTGGCTCACAAAAAAATTGACAGTAGTTAGAAAAAAAGACGTAATTTTCTATTTAACCCTTACGTATAGTGGATTCAACATGTATAATCACTTGTTGTTTGAGTGGTTTGGAGAGCAATCGTGTTGGAGAAGGAAGAAAATGCCTCGACAACAAACGACCCTGTGCGAGAGGCGGATGATTATCAAATGTCATGAGATGGGTATATCCAGCGCGGAGATAGCAGCTCAGTTTGATATGTCGGTAAATTATACAGTTTTTTTTATCATAGCACACTTTTATGAATGTTATTTTTTCTGTTAGATAAGACAAGTCCAAAACTGGATTGGGCAGAATAAGGAAGGTGGCAGTTTGGAACGCGACACGTCAAATGTCTTTTAAGTAACAGTATACTATTGCTAACAAGATGAATTAGGCAGTTTCAGACATCTAAATAAACAAATAATGATCTGAATAGATGGTTTTGTTGATATCGGATAATTTCTTGGAGAAGCTGATTTTTTATAAAAGGCTACTGGTATATTATATATTCCTTCTAGGACTTGATAGGGGACATAAAATGCTATAAGATTCAATCATTATCTGACCAGACAAAACCACATATATACTAAGTGACATATAAATCCGAACACCCAGTTTAAATGGTTTTATTTTAATAAAATTTTGTATAAGTATTTAATGAAGCATAATAAGTAAATGATAAAAATTTCAAAATGATTGCACTGCTTTAAAGTCCTTTGACCTTTAATAATGTGTGGATGCACCCTGATGTGCTACGCATTCTCCAACGCGCCTAGGCATGCTTCTGATCAGGTGGTCAATGTCCTCCTGTGGTATCTCATTCCAGGCAACCACCAACTCCTCTCGAAGTGCTTCTAGAGTCTGAGGAGGACGATGCAAATTGAGCAATCTCCTACCCATCATATCCCTTCACGTGCTCAATTGGGGATAAGTCGGGAATCTTGGTGGCCATGGTAACAATGTGACATCATTATGTTAAAAGAAGTCTATTGTGACTCTTGCAACATGTGGTCGGGCATTATCTTGTTGGAAAGTTGGATCTGCCAGGGTGTCAAGATAGGGTAAAAGATGGACTTCTAGAACTTCGTGGATATAACGCTGCGCGTTCATGTGACCTCTGATGAAGATTAAAGGTGACCTGGAACCATAAGCTATAGCACCCCAAACCATAACTCCAACAGTGTGATGAACATGTCTTTCAACAAAAAACTGTGGATTCCTCCTTTCACCACGTCGCCTTCTAACCCTGGCACGACCATCGTGCATGCCTAAACAAAATCGAGATTCGTCACTAAAGACAATACTGTTCCATTCCTGATCCCAGAGTGACCGTTGTCTGCACCACTCAAGGCGATTACGTCGGTGTTCTCGAGTTAAAGGGAGGACCCAGTGTGGCCGGTATGAAAACAAGCCAAAACTTCTCATTCGTCGGTAAACACTTCGGATGCCAATAGGTCTTCCGTGTTCTGCAAACCATTCATTTGCAATGGACCTGGTAGTGGAGAAACGGTCCCTTAAGGCCAATAATCTTAGGCGGCGATCTTCACGGTCTGTTGTTCTACGGCGGCGTCCAGTGCCCCTTGCTCTTTGCGTACGGCCTTCTCGAAGCCATGCCTGACAACACCTAACCACAGTGTCTACACTTCTTTGCACTCTAACTGCAATTGCCCGAAAAGAAAGTCCAGCTTCCCGAAGTCCCACTATACGGCCCCTATCAAACTCACTAAGTTGACGAAATCGTACAGGTCTCCGTACTCTAGGCATCGTAACCGATCGTAAAGGATGTCAAGAACCAAAATCCGCCAACTTTGATTTTTTACTGCGGCTGAAATATTCATTTTTAGAGCGTTAGTGAATTAAAAAAAAGCAGTATAAAAACCGGAATGTCGAACTGATAAGGCTGAAAATTTTTTCACTTGTTATTTACAGTAAGATAAATATATTCACCAACTTTTATTAAAATAAAACCATTTAAACTGGGTGTTCAGATTTATATGTCACTTAGTATATATATATATCAATAAAATTTACGGATTGATATGACATGTTCGGTTCCTATATCTACGATGGACCTCTTCCTCCATTTTCTTGATTTATGATTTAATATTTTTGGCACTGCGAAGACAGATTTTCAATTGAGATGTCTGTTTTTTTAAGTGAGATTGAAATAAGACCGCTACGTTAGGCGGTTAACCGTGAAAATTTGAGTATCAGTTCCCGGTACTGTACTGTGTTACACCATGGACTCGCGAAAAATTCTTTTAGGCATTTAATAAATGACATTTCTGACAATGCAAATAATGCAAATAACCTCATATTTACTGATTGGCTTGAAAATGGTAAGCGTTTTTGGAATCTATGTCCTATACAAGGACCTTTAGTCTGTAATTTAAATATACTTCTTTCTTGAGAACGATGGATCTTGTTAATGAAATGAGAAATACTCTTCGTGAATTCCGCAATGATCAATGGAGCCACCTCATGGCGGGGACGCTTAACTCAAGTATTCCTCTCTGGCACACACACACACACACACACACACACACACACACACACACACACACACACACACACACACACACACACACGCACGCACGCACCCACACACGCACGCGCGCACGCGCACGCACGTGCTCGTGCTCGTGCTCGTGCCCGTGCTCGTGCCCGTGCCCGTGCTCGTGCTCGTGCTCGTGCTCGTGCTCGTGCTCGTGCTCGCGCTCATGCTCGTGCTCGTGCTCGCGCTCGCGCAATTTTATATAATATAATAATATATATAATATAATATAATTTTGTATGAATAAATTCAGTGCTAAATTTTGTAGAAACAATATCAAACTAAAAGTGCGCAGACTACTGCGCATTCAGAGCAGTACAACGGCTGATGTGACATACAGGTACTACTAAACGAGTATGAGAAATATGATTGTTTTATACTATAAAAATAGAAAAGCCAAATAAGCTGCGTTGGGTAAAATCAGAATGACCAAGAAGGCTTATAAGCAAGTGGATCCTGCACTAAAAGTTATTTAGTCAGCATATGGAGTAACACACATGCCCAGGTCCCCTCCCTGATCCATTTTGGGCACCAAATTATTTTACAGTATTGTTTACTTCGTTTTCTCATGAGGTGGGCAGCACAAAAATTTCTTTACGTGTCAGACAGGATTGTAATTCGTGAACAAATTGAAAACTAAATTCAGTAACGAATTTTCTCATAAAATTTGGAACTAAATTTAGCCTAGAGATATTTTACAAATAAATATGTCATCTGCTTTGAAACTCACGCCATATTGGGAATTTAATTCATCACAGCAACAGCCCACCGCCATTGGAAACAACCCAACCAAGCCGCGCGCCACTATAGAATGCGGTTCCTTTTATTGCTCGGACATTTCTTTCCAATGTCAATAATGTCTTCGGCGCTAATATAATGTCAGAATTCGGTATTTTTGGAGGGAGAAAATGAAAGAGGTATGTGCAACTTAGATCGCTTATTTTTGTACTTGTGAATAACATTCCCTGGCAGCGAAACAACTGCAGCATACGTGGCAAGTGGCAACGATAAAAAAGGTAAATTAGTCATTTAGGCAGCTGGTCTTGAAAGGCAAAATGAAAATTAGACTTCTTAACAGTTTTTATTACATTTCCTCATTTACTATTTCTGTGGGTTTAAAGCTAATGTTTAGGTAGGTTTCCAAGGATTCTAATTTGTTATACACAACATTTATTGGTCTTTCAGTACAGTTTTACAAAAAAAAGTACTACTTACTATTTCTCATCCTCAATATTATTGTCACAGACTTTCTCTTCAGTAAGAACACCTTCATCTTCATTTTTCACCATATCGTCTTTCAAAAGATGACTATCGGGCACAACCTTTGCCGGTAGCAAATGCCTCATAGGTTCAATAACGGCCTGTTTATTGAGAAAAGTGATACCGTCTTCGTGAAGATATTGCACAGTGACTCCCAACTTTGCCGCCAAGTGACTAGGTGGATAGATTATATGGATACATTTCTGGATGTAAGGCACCAAATCGTCCGCGAAGCTCATGCACATCCTCGTGAAAGCTTCCTTGGAATTATGTGTCAAAGCTTGCTGTTCTTGGTTGTACAATACTTGCAGAGACTTTGCAATAACCGTGAGCGAGTCCTGCAGACTTGACACTACATCATCAGCAACCGCTACTGGAGCGCATAACCTCAATTTATTCAAAACGTTTAGTACGTTGTTTAAATACTCCCCTAAGGGATAAAATTCTAACAGGCTATCAGGTGGTTGCATCTGATCTTCGGACTTAGACTTCCAAGGGATACTTGGATGGATTTTGTCGATTAAAGTAAATTTTTCCATGTTTTGTTCAAAATTCTTTGTAGCATCAGTGATGGACTCATTGAAATTTTCGGATATCCTTGAAGTGAATATAGGAATCATCTGTGAGCGAAAATCGCACCCTACTTTGCTGAATGATAAGCCAAAATACATGCATTGCTCTAATATAGATTCTATAGAAGAAATGTACTTCAAATCTTCTTTGAGAGTTACCAGGAATTGGGATATCTGGAATACAAAATAATATCTCAGCTAATAAATTTGAGATATATGGAAAAGATCAAGAATGGAAAGATATTCATTGTCAATTTCGTTTTTTTTTTATGGTTAAACGAGGACAATATGTTATCCATTTATACTTTACATCTGGAACTTTACCGGGCGTAAAATTTTAAGCACTGCATACGAGGGATGTCTTTTAAGTTTGACATATAGAAACATAGTAGGCCGCGCGGATCGAACGTCAGTACTGTATCTTAACCTCACTGTTTAGTAAACTTAAATTCAAAGTTTCACAACAATACGTGCAGTGTTCTCACTACAGTGAATTTTTAAGTGTCACCAAGTGATTAGAAAAATGGAACTCAACCGAGAACATTTTCGCGCCACAATTTATTACAACTTTCAGAGACAATTATCGCAACAAGAATGCCTTGCTGAGTTACTGTCTGTTTTCGGTAACGAAGCGCCACATCAGTCGACAATTTCCCGTTGGTATGGAGAATACAAACGTGGACGGGTGAGTCTTAACGATGATCCCAGGGTGGGTGCACCAAAAACGGCAGTCACCCAGGAAAACGTCGATGCTGTGCGCAAACTCATCATTGAAGATAGACATGTGACATATCGCGAGATTGAGGCGTCCTTGAAGATCTCAATTCAAAAAAATTTACATGAAGAATTAGGAATAAGAAAATTAGTTTCTCGTTGACTGAAGAGCAGATAGCAGCCAGTGTTAATTGGTGTCAAAAAACGCTTGACCGTTTCAATTCCGGAATCTCAAAAAATGTGTACAGCATTGTTAGTGGTAACGAATCGTGGATTTACTGTTATGAACCAGAAAATAAACGACAGTCGGCTGTTTGGGTGTTCCAAGGTGAAGAAAAGCCAACAAAGGCCATCCGTTCTCGAAGTGTTTCGAAAAAGATGGTCGCGACATTTGAGTCAAAAGCGGGTCATATTGCAACAATTCCTGTTAATGAGCAAACACCTGTTACTGCGGATTGGTATACCACCATTTGTTTGACAAAAGTCATCCTCGCTAGCTTCGAAAAATCAACCCCAAAAGAAGAATCATCCTCCACCAAGACAATGCAAGCTTGCACACAGCCCAAAAAACAAGGCAGTATTTAACGGAAGAAAACGTGGAATTATTGGACCATCCTCCATCTAGTCCCTATCTAAGTCCTAACGATTTCTTTACTTTCCCGAAAATTAAAAACAGACTGCATGGTCAAAGGTTCCAGTCATCAGAAGAAGCAGTTGACGCATTCAAAAATGCCGTTTTGGATCTGCCAGCAAACGAGTGGAATAAGTGCTTCGAAAATTGGTTCGAGCGCATGCATATGTGTATTAATCTTCATGGAGAATACTTCGAAAAACATAAAGTCATTTAAAACTACCTACCGTGTTGTTTTATCTCCATATGCAAAACATAAAAGACATCCATCGTATAGTTTATTCACTGAATCAAAGCAGTTACGTCACAACGTCAAATAATGATAGTGACGCACATGCTTGCCACATTAATTAAAACTACTACAACCTAGGACATTTTAAAAAATCGACTTTAAGTCTTCGATGCCTTACTGGAACCAATATTACGGAGTGTATGTTTTGTAAGTGCCAGAGCTAGTATAAATTCTATTTACTACATGATACCTCTCTTACGGACTGCAATAATGGAGCTCCATGATCTCGTTCGGTCTCGAAATATTTCATCAAATAAATGACGAATTCTTTTGCTTGTCGACCCAGAGATTTCGGCATTTTTGCAAAATGCTTAAAAGGACACTTCAGTTTGAGGCAAAAAGAACGAAAATAAACCACAAATAAACAACAGCCGTTGACGGAAGTAACTGACAAGTTTTACGACAATGTCACAACACAGAAAACTGTTAGGAACATAAATGTACCCAGGAAATGTAAACTAAACGTACTAATTTAGGATCTATTTTGCATTAAAGTTGGCATTCAAATTTACTAAATATGACGTAACTGCTTTGTTTCAGTGAATAACACATACATAGTGGCACTACGCAATCATGAATTAATTAAAGTGGGGTTCCTATCTGTCTTGCTGTCAGAAAAAAATGAAATTTGTAGTAATGGGAACTAAGGGCAGTATCGTCAGTCGTTCCTACAATTGTAGGACGCCTTTATGGCCTCCTTGATTGTCAAACTCCTTTCTCTCCTTCAAAAATTTCTAGCTTGCACCTGTTCTGTGTCAGCGCTCTCCTATTGTGAGGATATGTTTTCTTCTTAAATTGTAGGAAATTTCAGGCTGATAAAACATGATACAAATCAAAGATATGCACAATTTGATGGAAATAGATATTTGTGACATAACCTCAAAATAGAGCGCTGATACGGAAAAGCAGAAAACTATGACAATCAAGGAGGCCATAAAGGCGTCCTACAATTGTAGGAAGGACTGACGAAACGGGCCTAAAAGATCATCACATGGTGAAGATTTTTTGGTTTTTTTCAGCCTATAATTTGAAAAGTATATAGCTTGGATTTTTTTTTCATATGTTTCTGATAACTATTATGACTTGGCCTAACCCCATTTCCAGCTTCTGGGATACCCCGTAGCAACATAACCTAGACATACCTTATCTTTGATCCAACAGTAAAAAATTACATTCTGATTCTTGGAGCTATCTCCTACCAATGGGCTATGTTCATCATCATTGAAAATGGCTCGGTACTGAGTAAGAATGTTGAACAAATTTACTCTAGTAACGTCAATAGTTTTGGTAAGATGGTTGCTCACTAAAAACAATAAGTTACATCAGAAAGATGCAAATAAATTCAAACTGTAACAATGAAGTATCTTCAAGCTTAAGCGTTTTGAAAAAAAAAACATACTGGCTTTGTTACATAAAATATCTTTTGTGCATGATCAGTCATCTCCATGACTAAAGTTTGGTGACTAAGTAAACTTGTTTCAGTATTTTTTAGAAAACTAGGATAATTAAATGCACTATAAAATAGGCTAAACTTACTATCATCTTTTGGAATATTTCTTAAGCATTCATCTAACCAACAGCTTCTGGTCTGTAAAAACTTAAGCCTCAATTCAGTTTCTGAGAAAACTTGCATTCTTCTCAAATAACCTACTATTTGCAGGCATTTTGGTAATGATAAATCCTGCCTCAACTGAGTTAGCAACTGATGAAGCATTGTTAGCCATGCTTTATCTACATCATCAACAATACTCTGTAAATAACATGAACCAAATTTAGTCCCACAAACCAGTTACCTGAATGTCAAAACATGCATATCATGGATTAACATAAGAGGTCTGAAAATTAAGTGATGAGACTGGCAACATAGGGTAACGATCGATACAATTTAAAATTTTTATCATATTATTCCTGCAATTTTTCAGCAGGAAGTGTTACAGGCATGAAAGTGAAAAATCTAAAGTCATACACAAACTCTTTCAATCATCCTTAAAGACAATGAAAGATGAATCCTTCTTAAAAATAAAAATTACTACCAATATATATGATATTTTTGTAATGAGACACTACAATGTGAACACAGGTAGCATACAAAGTAATGTTCTTGTTGCAGAGAGGCAAATTTGAATCTAACAGAATAGTGACACTTGCACCATATATCAAATCCTAAGAACTATGACAATTTTCTGATATTTGATGATGTTTCAATGACTTGGCTCAAGTACTTTAGTATTTGGGCGAGTTTCTTCCTGATAAGTAATATAACTTACTCTAGTAAGTCAAGTTCAGCAGTATACAATATGTGCAGCACTTATTTTTAATACCCTGGTTGATTTTGTAGCTATATATGTACATTCTGACCATATCTCACAGATACATACCTTAAATATAACGATATTGGAATGTTTGTTGTAAATTTTCCTCACATATGCAGCCAATTCCAAAGCATCCTCATAAAGGCCATCATTTATAAATGAGTTCATCAATTGGGGCAGCTCTAATACCTCTAGTAACTGTAAACTCTTACTTAATGTTAAGGAATTGAGCCTTCTTACTTCATTTATATCACCAGATTTCTCTCCAAATTCTTTACATTTTTCTTCAAACTTCGGTATGTCACTAAGAAGCATATCCAGCTTGCACTCAATTGAATTGAACTGAGAAAACAATTCTCTTGAACATTCTGCTGTCTCTATGAATGTTCTGTAGTTTGAAACAGCTAACTCCTGTATATGTTCTTGTAAACTGGCAGCTTCATGTTTGAGTCTATCTGGTTCTCTTACCAAGTTATCAACATGGTATGTTCCCAGTTTAAGGATATAATCTCGAATTTTGGGGTCATCTTCCCACTGAGCTGCAAAATAAAATTTGATTTACTAACAGGTTTTCAAACAGGGGTCACGCTTATTTACCAGGATAGCCATCGGGGTACAACAGGCTCAGGAATCTCTTGTAATCAGTCATATTGTGTTCTGAACTGCTTAACAAATTGGAAAAACTCCAAAAAAGAAAAACCAAACGCTATGAGCGGTAACAGTTACATTATCTATTTGTATAGGCTAGTTTGTCTCAGTTCTTTATCTTTTAAGCTTTCGTACCACATTTCAATGCTGAAAAATAAACAAAGACTGACACCTGACACCTCAGTCGTCGTGATAAATTGTCAATGTCAACAGTTGCGCGGCATCCCAATGCTCGAAGCGTACTCGCAGACAAATCGGTGCTGTCGCTGCTACCAAAATTTCACCAGATCTGATTTTCAGTATTTACAAAACTTTTAAAAATACTCCTGTCGAATCCCTCAGGTCGTGGAATATTTCTGCTCTGAGTTCAAAACTATCTCAAACCACAATGAAAACACGGATCAAAAAAAAAAGATGAATGTATAAACTGGTTTCATAGACGCCCATCATTGGCAAGATGTAACTTTTTGTGAAAATGTAGCTGCCCCCAAAAAGTTTTTCGAATAGCAGAAGTGTATTTGACCCAGAACTTTTTGAATAGCGGGGAGCAACAAGTCCTAACAAACGTTAAAATCATGCTAATTACGCAAATGAAAAACTCTTACCGGATTCTCAGGAGGGTCACAGATCCACTGTCACTTCATTATACAGAGATATTCAAATATCACCAACAAGGTAATGTGTATATGAGAGAGAAGCGTGCAATACGTATGTTAGGCGCACGCCTATGGTAACGCAGCAAGCCGTAGCCGTCACTCAGGTTGTTAAGCAACGTGGTGCATCGAAGTTTTTCTATCATACATATTACTCGTTTCTCGCGCTTGTCTCTCTCTCTCGTACACATTACGAAGTCAGTGGTGTATGGATTTCTCTGTATAATAGAAATGAGGAAAAACTATAATGGAGGATTTTTTCATTAAATTCCATTACCGAAATGAGGGTAATTATGGAAAGCTAGAAGCAAAGATGGCGCTATACTCGGAATCAGAAAGGGAAGAGAGCAGCGGAACAAATCGCACGCTACTGCACGTGCGGCGTCCCTTTGAATTGACACAGTCGGAGCACGAGTATTCCTCCATGTTCAAAGAGAACATGCACTTGCAGTGGCGTGTCATGGGTTCCACTACTCTCTTCCTTTATCAAGTTATCACATTTGTTGAAACTATTTAGTAATTAGGCTGGGGGCCCGAAGAATAGATATTTGCAGGCTAAACGCATAGAGTGAGGATGAAGCCAGAAGTGTCGACGTCGAAAGCGAGGCTATAGCATATATATATATATATATCCATCTCCCTCATACATACACATGCAGCCTACCCCTGTGTGTGAACGTTTGTTCGGTAAGATCAAAAACATACGTTTTTTATTTGTGTGACGCCGTCTCGAATACTTTGCTGTTACGTTTGAGTGCCCTTCAGTCATATTTGTCAGAGTGACAACTTACTTGACATCGGCGTGCAGTTTAAGTTGTCCTGTTAGCTCCTGCTAAATTTATTAGAGTATTTCCAGGAAGAGAATGAAAACAGCGATCCCCAGTTGCCCACTTCATGCGTACTGGAAAGAGTAGCAGGTGCGCTGAAGATTAGTCTGCGCAATGTTCTGCCCATTGTACGGAGACGATCTGTTTACTTATTGCATATGCTGTTGAATACGTAACCGCCAAGAACGGTGACTACTACTACGATTACTCGTCTTCCCTGCGATTTTGCGCGAATCTGTTCGTTTTGTAGATCCAGGGATCTGTGATTTCTCAATCCTCAAATCGCGAAGTGATAGCGAATGAGGGTATCGTTTTACGTTCATGGACAATTGTGCTCAAGTAACAAGTTGGCCTGACACGTTTGAAAAATAGCCTCGATTCGTTGAGATTTTTGTTTTATTTTATTCCCGAACTAGTTCAACCTCGACTCCCCCCAACCCCTGACTACAGAGAATTTTTGAGCTTCTTTCGAGTTCTGAGAGAATTCTGTTTCATCCATCTGGCAACGCTGTGTGGAAGCGACGCCTAGCGAGAAAAATTGAACATCGCTGCGATTATCAATGCCCCATTTTTTTGATTAGGTATTTTAAAATTGTAAGAAGTAATTATCTATTATATGAGTATATCTAAAAATAATGAACGATTAAACCGAACTCGTAAAAATAAATAATTTTTCTGATCTAACTACTGTTTTGAAGAAGGTTCGATCGACTGAATCATGAATAACTGTCTCGTTTCTTTGTAACTTGATCAATCTCTAATCCATCAGTTTCTAACTTAAAAACCTCACTGTTGCAGATTATAAATTAGATAATATGATTTTTCCTTTTAAATTGTAATACATTTTACAAATTGTGGAAATAAATATACACACAAAGTCATTTTTTTAAACTATTTTTTTTCGTACTAAGTAAAATTTGTTCTAACAGTTCTGGAGGTTTTACATCAACCGTCTTAAAGTAATCTAAATTTTTAACTGTATCACACTGTACAAATGCACCCAAAGTATTACTAACAGCATTTAAATCAAATAAAATGTGATTTGAGCCAATCTCATGCCCATGAAACATTCTTCTAGCACTACTAGAAGCTAACATCTCAATTCTTTTCATACAAATACATTTCAAAAAATCATAGAACATGTAGAAGTCCATCCCACAGGATACTTTCAACATTAACTGGCAATGCTGCTCAAAATCGTCCATCTCCTTACAGTCTGCAATTTCTTTTTCAACATTCGCAAGCTCAGCTAACAGTGCAGCATACATATTGTCTATATTGCAACCATTCACCCAATTGTGATTGATTGAAATGGTATCCCCAATGTTATAAACTTGATGGTGCCATCCAGATGGTACAAAAATTGCCTCATTTTGCTCTTGGATCAATTCATGCCCATGATGTAAAAGGCTGGAAGTTGTTACATCATAGGGCAAATTTCCCAAATTGTCTTTCAGTAAATTCTCTTTTCCTGGAGGGAATAAAATCCATCGCTTTCTCCCCATAATATTAACTGACCAGCTGTATGACATGAACACGTCAGCATGGAAAGGAGTCCATGAATTATTAGGACCCATATATACAAATCTGTAATCATCTTTAAGATGACTTGCACAAGTTACATAATACTCATTCAACCAGTCTGAGGCAAAATATACAGGCACTTCGTAGAATTTGTCATTTTCATCCGTGAGTTTCAAATGCCAGTTCTTCAGATAGTCCAACTTTGTAGCGTTTTTGGAACTCTCTCTTAGGTAGCTCAAATATCTCCTAAAATCCATCTGTGTTGGTTTTTGTGTATTGTAGTATCTTTCTAAGCAGTTATAAACTGTTACATGATAACTACCATATTTCTGCATTAGATAATCGTAGTTTGGTCTTCCATCTTTTACCCAATCTCTTGAAGACTCCCAGGTATTGCCAATACCTTTGATAATGCATGGTACATTTGCAACCATAAAGTTTTGAAAAAAATCATTATAGGTCAAACTTTTGGCATCAATAATAGGTACACCATCTTGGTTTACTCCTCTGACGGCAGACTGTCCGGTATTATCAATTTCAAACAGCATACCACATTTCATCAAAATAAGTAGTTAATTACGATTTCATAATCAAAATTAGAACGTTATAATAAAAACAGTAACCTCATAATAATAATCAAATTCAAGCGGATAACCAAATGGAAATAGTATTTACCATTTTGGGTTGGTATTTACCGATCCGTTCAAGCGAGTGTAGTTATCAGTTTGGTTATAAGATCCGTGACGTCACGAATCAGCTGTTATATGTCATAGTTATCACCGCAAAATTGTGGTATTTACCCAACTCCGGAGCAGTTTTATATTTCTGGTTATTATTTGAAATGTGACAAGTTAGAATTTTGGCGGGTATTGGATATTTTCGTCGTACTTGTGAGGTTATATGCGTGTTTAAAAGAGCAGTTTTGCAGTTCCTTATTAAATTGAAAATAATATGGAGCAATTTTATCTAACTTTAAACTATGAAGGCGTAGACTACGAGGTCTGCGTTAAAGACCTTGAAACAGCCAATTTACTTTTGAATGGTAACTATATATGTAGTATGATAAGCAAGGAATAGTATATTGTATACCTTGTAGAAAAAGCCTGATATTTATGGGCTAATTAAATATTAAACAGGTGGGGTGCAAGGTAAAACTGACCCTATTGATTCTAGATACCTACATATTATGTGATTTTTTCTACATGGTATGCACATATTCAATAATAAACTCTGTATCAGAACTGGATACCTCTCATACTTTGCTTTAAGATTTATCAATTATGAGAGTGGCATATTTTTTATATTCTAATAGGTTTGGTATGAAATTTTAGATGCTGCTGCTGCAGAGCAATATATTTTATCTATGTGTCCATTGGGGTCTCAGCATGAGCACAATGACTCCGAAAATCAACCTCAGAATGATTTTCAATCTATATGGTCTATGCCCCACAATGAAAATGACTCGACCATTCAACCATCTATTAATGATATGATTTGGACAAAGAAGAAGCCTTCTGAAATGGATAATGAAGCAACTCATTTAATGTTGTCCTTAAGAGACGAAAAAAGTACTTACTTTGACGACAAAAGAACCAGAAAACTTAAATTGTGGAATGACATAGCAAAAGAGTTAGAGAAAAATAATTTCCATCTTGGGAACAAAGGAGGAGAGCGGTGTCGTCAAAAGTTTGCGAATTTGCAAAAAACTTATTTATCTTACATGAAGCATCAAACTACAACAGGAAGTGAGAGAATTGATGACATTCCTCCATTTTTTGATGAGCTCCACTCCATTCTAGGTTAGTTTAATATCTTCTTTTACTTTCACATTACTATCTTAAGCAAGTATGTAGTATTGTTATTGTATGTCATGACTATATTTTAATTGTTCTTCTGTCATGTTTGTAATTATAAAAATTCTGGTATGAACCATCAAAAAACAAAAATGTGTACCTTTAGATTCCTTAGTCAAAACAGGTGGAAGTACTTACCAATATAATTTTTAGGATGCAAACATAAGGTAACCCCATTGAATCTAGAGGATTCAATGGATGAAACATCAGAAAGTGTGAAAAATGAAATAGAACAGGAACAACCAGATCATACAGATCCAGAGGAAACTCAATTGGGTCCCTCAACAACAACACCAGTTAGCCGATTCAAAAAAACTCGAAAGGTAACACCTTCTCGGCATGATGACCTGATAAGAGAAATGGAAAAGGATAGAAAAATAAGAAGTGAAGAATTTAGTTTTTTGAAACAACATTTGAAGAAAACAGAACAACAAAAGGACAGGTTCTTAGAAATTGTTGAGGCAGCTTTTGGGACAAAAAAAAGAAGAATGAGTGAAACAAACGATTCTGACACTGACTAGGATTATTATCGATTAATATTTATTTCTTTTTGTTTTTATTTGAGATTTTTAAATGGTGTAATAAATAGTTTCTTGTTCTAATATTTTAGTTTTATTCAAGGAAGACATTGCCAATGTGTAGAAGTCAATCCATCCATAAAAAAAGGTAATATACCTTTTGTGATAACTATCAAACCTTGTGTGTAGAATAATAATTAAGTTAAAATGAAAGTAGAGATAAGTAAATTAAAACGCAAACCAATAATTGTGTTTTTTATTCAATTTGAATTGAAAGATGGTACAATAATATTATTCTATGTTATATCTGCATAAGAATAAAGTGTCTGCAATTCTATTTCTTTTCCGCTTTGCTTCTATGTTACCCCTATCTTCTAGTTCAGCCTGATTTATATTTCTGTCCAGGTCAATTCCAAAAAAATCGTTATTCCAAGTGTCTTTATGCAAAATGCAAAAATTGTGTAGAACACATGCAGCTGTTGCAATCTCCACTGCTTTGCAAATGTTATAGGTATTTATATATTGCACCCTTCTCCACCTACCCTTATATGCCCCAAAACAATGTTCAATTTTTACTCTGTCGGAACTAAGACAGTAATTGTGAAATTTTTGCTTTCTGGTCACATTGTCGCCTCGGTAAGGAGTAATAAGCCAAGTTCTTAATGCAAATGCACTATCACCAATTAGGTGATATTTCTGAGTATCCAAAAAGTAGAAGTTTGGCCCATGTCTCTCAATGTTTTTGCACATAATTGAATTTTCAAAAACCTGAAATTAAAGTATAAAAATATAAAAAAATATTAATGTTTTCCTACAAAATTTAACTGGTGCAAAGCTTTTTTCACTTCCTCTTAAATACTAGTTTGAAGTTTTATTGCAATATAATAAAGATGTAATAAATATTCACTTCAAAATGAGGCGTCTTCTTATTTTTGTTAACACATACCCGTGAGTCATGAGCAGATCCAGGGTATCCTAAAAACACATAGGTGAATAAAGTGTTAGAATCACATATTGCCATGAGATTTATAGATGTTCTTCTATAGCGGTCTATGTAGCTATCTTGTTGACTTTTTTCAACCTTTACAAATATGTGGGTACCATCTACTGCTCCAATAACTCCTGAAAATAATAATAAACTGAAAAGTGGAAACAGATGTAACTTATTAACTAAATACATATGTATATTCCAATAAATACTATTACAGGACAGGTTGTGATGGCATCAATTAGGACCAACCAAAAAAGTTTGAATATAATATACAGTAATTGTACTAAATACCTGTTTGTCTCTAAAACATTAATGACTAGGCCTTACATGAGGGGGAAACCACCAAGGAAATATTGACCGGTTTCTGGGGGAAATATAGAGTAACAATAGGGGAGTAATTGTGTGAAATGCAGGGGGCGGTATCACCCTAGGTTTGCAGTATTCAGAAATGTTTACTTACCTGGATACTTCTTGAAACCTTCACTAATGTCTCTCATTTCAGCTTCATTTTTGGGAAACTTAATGTAGGCTGATTTTAGTTTTAGCATGAAGTAGAGCACCTTATTTGTTATACTCATCACTGTTGTTGGGGACACTTTAAATCTAGTTCCTATGCTTAACAAAGTATCCTGTGTAGCCATATACCACAAGAATATTAAAATATGGCCATATAAACTCACTGGATAGTGGCCACCTGTATATGGCTTTGCTAATATCTTTTTTTCGTCGCTTTTTCCTATCTTTTCTGCTAATTCAATAAATGTTTTCTTTGACATACGGAAAAGTTTAAAGAACTTGAAGTTCTCATAGCTACAAATCCATGGTTCCACCATTAAAATTTTGGGCGTCATATCCTTTATATTCACGACAAACTTGTGGGAACATAACAGCGATTTTCTCAAGTGATTCAACACATGAACAATATCTTCTGAGGAAAAAAACATTTCTCCCATTAATATCATGAAAGTTTTCTTGTTTAAACTTTCCATATCACTGTTGTAGACGCACTGATTATTAAGTGATAATAAAAATAATCAGAAATTAAGGTATAATATACGCGCATTTCTAAAATAAACAACCTGCAACAAAACCGCGGTTAAAACCAACGCGTTCAAGCGATTCGAGTAACTGACGTCATCAACCCGTGTGTCATCTTAAACCATACTATAACCGCGGTACATAACACAGAAATTTTGGTTGTTCGCTTGGATTTGATTAATGTCATTAGTCATTGTGACGTTTCGGTTTCGGATGCATAGATCATCAACTACAAAACATCACAGAATGACAAAACGATAAAACCACAGAACAAAGGATACATTACCAAACAGAAGCGCATATTCTGGAATTCTAATATTCTTTCACATTCTGATTGCGTATACTTTTTTTTTTTGAGAGAGGCTAATATGTCGCATTTTTCTTTTATTCCCATGTGGATAAAAAATGTAAATTTTATTGAAACTGTTAAAAATACTCGTATATGTGTAATCGCTACAGATTTAACATATTTGACGCAGTTTTTTGTTTTCTCGTCAATGTATAATTTTCCACATAAGGAATTTCTGTGCTCCTCTGGGTGGAACGATAGTCTGGACCAAAAAGGAGGAGCAAAACACAGCGCACGCTACTGCTGGCGCGGCATGCATTTTAATTGACGAAGTCGGTGAGTGCATATCGATCGGATTTAAAAAGATGCCGCGTAAGCAATGGCGTACGATGTGTTTTAATCCTCTCTTTTTAGCACCAGAGTATAACGGCTAAATGAAAGCTTTGTTAGAAACCGAAAAATACGCGAAGAATTCAAGTGATTGGAAATGCCAATAAAATAAATGCACATGGACTTGATACACCGTTCTGCGTTAGGGTGCAGGGAATATAATCTGTTCCACTCAGGTCTTATACCTCTCATAAATAATAGTCAAAGCACAATGTGCAGTGCAGGGACCTACACCATTATACTTCCACCCATCAGCGTCTGATTCTGCTTGCACAAATACTGCCACGTCAATTCAATCAGCCTTCTGTGTCCTAACTTCAACCTTCTCCTCATCTTTTTTTAGCTACAGTTATCATTTTAGGAACCCATTCATACAGCATGCAATCTGGAACTCAAATAACATCAACTCAACAAACCAGCATTCTCAATTACCAAAACTTTCGCGCATGAAGGTAGGCGTACTCAGTGATCATGACAAAAATAAGGCTGCGGTCAGAGTGGCTCCGTTTTCGGCCGAATAATTTTTCGGCCATGTACACTCGATTCCCCCGATAGTTTTAATTGCTTGGTATTCTATTGACTTGGCTACAGTACATCCGATTTCGACCGACATGTACGGCCGAATTTTTCGGACATCGGACGAAATCAAAATAATTTGCTTTTTCGGGAGCTTCGGTGCAATTTGAAGTGAATAATTTCATAAAAATGCTTGACTGTGAAATTTTAATTAGCCTAGTTTTTGAAAAAAAGAGTTTGTGGGATATAAGAAATAAAAACCACCACAATAGAGACATCACACGTATAAACTGTGGAATCAAATTACTCCGAAATGAAAACTACAAGCAAGCATTGGATATTATATTCTTAATATAAACAGTTTGGAATAAAAAATAGTGTACAAGAATATTATTAAGTATTAATCATTACTACGGCACATTCCTTTAACATTTTTCTGGTAAAATTAAATTAACAAAGTTATAGCCCTTTAGAAGTTTGAGTACCGCCCTGTCTCAATAATAATATTATGTGCTCGTGTTTGGCAACAACGGATATAATCCGCCATATCGGTTCATCGCATGGGAAACAAAAATTCGAAAGAATTTGAAACGTTTATCACGATGTCAGTCAATGTTTCAGCCAGTAACGCGTGAGTGAATAGTGGTGCTTGTTGCGTGGCTCAAACGAAATAAAAAATGGCACATGTTTACGAAAATGCTGAACTTGTGAACTTGTGGACATGATTCTTATTTAATCAAGTGTAACCAACCCCTCGTGCCTTTGTTAATGTAGTACAAAGGGCTCGTGAATCAGGTGACTTAAGACCTCACAGGGAAGGGCATGCCGGTGCTCAAAGACCGCACGAACAAATACAGGTCCGCACTGAAATACTTGTCGGTAGGATACTTTATAAAACAAGGTGACATTTTTTTTGTTTTTTTTTTAATTTTTACACACATATTTTGGTTTATCTTCCTTCTACAATCATTATCTGAAAATTAATGACTCAACTTCAAAGTCACCCTGTATAGCTCCTACAGTGTTAAAATATTGTTTAAATCTGTCACGTATTTCATATGCTGCTGCTGCTCTTGTAGCACGGTTAAAGCGTCTTGTCTCATATACTCAAACATTTCTGCTGGTTGCTCCAGTAGTTGCAGAAAGAGGGTATGATATTCTCCAAATCTTGTACTGGACCTCAAAAATATAGTTTGTGTGGTATTTCTTCTTTTTCATTAATAATATCTTGAAGGCGGTACTCGTTTCTGCAGATGAAAGCGTCTGTAAGTTCACTTTGCTACAAACGCAAAATAAAAACTAACTATCGAGTAGAGAGGACTATAGCGGAACCTTTCAAATGTTTCCCCCGACACCGGAGCCATACACACCATCTGGTTGGGCCGAAACATTCGGCCCTAAACGACAGACATATCATTTGGCCGAAAACGGTGCTACTCTGACCGCAGCCTTGGGCTGGATATCTCAGGTTTCATTGGGCTTTTACGCCAAACCGCATGTTTTGCAAGGCATCTATCCGGAATTGGCTAACCGCACGTCTAGCAGAACATTTATACCTACGTATGTTCGTCCACACTTTGCGTTAGACTTGGCCGTATCCCGTATCACTACACGTTTTACATGGTTCACATTCACGGAAGGGCACATGTAATAATTACTTTTTAAACAATTGAGAGCACAAGGGCACTCCGAAAATGCCAATTTAATTTCTTCGAGACAATACACATGGTTTCGCAATCAGACGAAATCTAAACTCACGCAGGCCGGTAAGACGAGAGAGTTCTATCTAACTTTCTGTGGTTAGAAACCGAAAAATACGCGAGAGATCAAGTTATTGGAAATACTGATGATAAATAGACACGGAATTGATACACTATCCTGGACCTATTCCTCTCACTTTCTAGCATAATATATGGGACATAATCTAAACAAATCAGATGCCTTGATGCATCCAAATATCGTAACCATAATCGTTAATATTTATTACCCCATCATAGGCGTATGTGTCGGTAACAGCTTTTTATTAAAAATGTATTTTTTTTATTTATTGCTTTTGCTGTAGCGGAACGCTTTGGACGCTAAGCTTCGCCATGGCATCCTGTCGATGGCGTCATATAAGCTCGTTGTCATGAGCATAATATAACTCCGCCTATGAATGAAAAACAAATAATGATATGCATATCTATTTATAACTTTAGTACATTATATCAGTATACCAGATAGATACACATATGGCCGTCATTTACGCATATAGGCAGCTGTTACGCGATAAAATTTACGTCACGGATACGGTTATCCGGCAACCAGCATGGAGTTTGTGCCTAAATTGAAATTAAATAATGGAAATGAAATCCCTTTCTTTGGTTTAGGAACATGGAGAGTGAGTATTGCACAGTATATTAGTAGATATATTATACCTCTTCAAACAAAATACCAAATTATAGGGTAATAAGTGCTTTATCTGGCGTACTGCTGTAATCGGTACATTAAGCAGTGGCGTCACCATCTGGGCAGCTGAACAAAAGCTGTAGACTAGGCGACTAGGCTAGAACCCCGCATAAAACCTACAAGTGACTGGTCAAATTGCAAAGTTTTTGCTGATTTTGGTAGCTAGTTCTTCAGACCTTGTGTAACAAGCTTCGTTCAGCTGCGTATCCAGAAAAAAGATCTGAGAGGGGGCTTAAATTTCTCAAAAGGTACCCAAATCGCCGATCTAGCTCTTTTCTACCACTATGTCAACGGGCTTTGCTCCTCAAGCTCTTCTCCATGATGCCGCCGCATCATGGCCCTGTCAGACAAACCCAACTGATTTCGGCCTCCCATCCTAACCGTTTCGAACGCCGCACATCCAGAACTAGCCGGTACGCGCTCCTTTGTTCATAGGGCATCGAGATTGTGGAACAATCTGCCTGAAAAGGCTTTTTCCAGTTATTAAGCTTCTCATACCAGCCGCGGTACCCTGGTATTTAGGCTTCTGACGACGCAGCTGCTTTTGGATAAAAAAAGTAGAATGCACTTAAATTTTTATCGGTTTCCCTAGAAATGGTGCTAAAGTTTGTTTATAATTAATGAAAAGGTTATTGCAAGAGAACTGTGGCATATACGAGTATTTCGACCAACGACGATCATTCTTTTTATCGTCGTTGATTTCGACGAAACCTGGTAATACTGAGGCACTTGGAGAACAAATTATAAGGGCGCTGTCAAATATTGAATGTATTGAACCGTATGTTAGAACATATTTTTATGTGTTAGAAAAAATGCAATTTCGTAAATTTCGTTTTGATCGAATTATACACGCAGAAAACGGCAAATGTTTCAGGTGTTATGAGGACTACTGGTTCTACCATGCCAAATTTCACCCTGTTATTATATGTTACAACAAAGTTGTGTTGTTTTCAGTCGAAACCAGGCGAAGTAGAAGAGGCAGTAAAACATGCCATAGATGTCGGTTACAGACAATTTGACTGCGCGAGATTTTACGAAAATGAAGCAGAAATTGGAAAAGCAATACGAGAAAAAATACAAGAAGGAGTTGTAAAGAGGGAAGATCTTTTCATTACGAGCAAGCTGTGGTGCACAAATATGAGACCTGACCTCGTTGAACCAACATTAAAAAGTTCTTTGGCAGACCTTGGTTTGGAATATCTTGATTTATACCTTATACACTGGCCATGTGCCTTCAAGGTAACTTTTATATAACATCGTTTTATAGTACATGATTCTTTCTTTATACTTCCCACGCCCTTTCGGCATGTTTTTTGGATGTCTGTCTATCTGTACTTGGAAAGTGCCGCTCGGATTTGAACGAAATTTCCACACAAGGTTTCAATTCCATTAGCGGGGGAGCTGCAGAGCAAGAAACAAAAAAATTAATAGGAATCGCTCAAATGTTTTTTGACGTTTCAGATGTTCCTAATCAAAAATGTAGGGTTTAAAATTAGGGATTTATAAAGGTATACAGGGTGGCCGAACCATGTGCGGACGGAATATTACTCATAAACAAATTCATTTTGGGAAAATCTATTTATGGCATGTTATACATGACATTTGCATGCACATTTCTAAAATATTGGCCATTATACAGGGTGTCCCAATTTTGACATACATATCAAAGTTGTGATTTTTGAAATAGAATGCCATAAATTTATTGCATATTTAGATAAATCACTTCAAAAGAAGAAGACTGATATAACATACTACGGAGTTTTAGTAATTAGCTACTGACACGTAAGGTGTCCAGAAAAACCGTCCACGTCGGCAAACCCTCAATCCGCCATTTTGAAATTTGGAGTGCTGAATTTTGTATCAAAAAAAACTCCTCAGCTTTTATCTTATTTGTTACTTTTTTGAATTCTCATTTTTGCTAAAACGCAAATTTTACTTTTTCTCAAAAAATTCAAATGCATTAATTACCCTGTATATTTGTGCAAGTTTGGATTTAAATTTTTATAAGCTTTTTTCTGGTACAAGATTTGATTCAGATAAAATTACTAGATTTTTTGTTATTCAGCTTTTAATAGAACAACATACCAAAACTGAGGAAAAAAATAACATCATCCATGGAAACAAAAGACAAACAGTGGGCAACTGCCATATTGCCACTAAGCGTACAGATTTGACGTAAAAACTAATAACAATCAGAACAGTATAAATCAGCTTCAAGAGTAATAGAGAAAAACACCTATAACAACAACATAAACAAACAACTACCACTACTCAAGACCTAATCTACAAAAACGAAAATATCTCCACCATGTTGAATCCACTGCCGTAGTCTGGATAAATGACCGTTGCACATCCCTCAGCATGTGTTCCCGTATGTTCAGAAAAGCATCCTTAATCCTTTCCTTCATATTTTCCGGGGGATATGGTGGATATCGATAAAGAAGTCCATCGGTGTCATACCTGGTGATCTAGGAGGCCAAGATATAGGCCCATCACGACCGATCCAACGATTGTTACTCCAGGTGTCCAAATAATTACGCACACGATTATGATAATGCGCAGGTGCGCTGTCATGTTGGAAGTACATATGCATCCGAGTTTGCAGGTTGACATCCTCCAAAAGCAAAGACAAATGCTCGATCAAAAAATTCAAGTTTTCTGTACCTGTTAATCTGTCGTCGAAAAAGAAAGGCCCGATAACTTGTCTGCCAAAATTAAAATTCGAAAAAGTGACAAATAAGATAAAAGCTGAGGTGTGTAAGTTTTTTTTTTATACAGAATTCAGCACTCTAAATTCCAAAATGGCGGACTGAGGGGTAGCCGAAGTGGGGGTTCTCCTAGACAAAACACCTTATATCTCAGTAGCTAATTACCAAAACCCCATGCTATGTTATATCAATCTTCTTCTTTTGAATTGGTTTATCCAAGTATGCAATAAAATTTGATGCAGTCCATTTGAAAAATCACAACTTTGATATGTAGGTCGAAATTGGGACACCCTGTATAATGGCCAATATTTTATAAATGTGCCCTTAAATATCATCTATAACATCCCATAAATAGATTTTCCCAAAATGTATTTGTTTATGAGTAATATTCCGTCCACACATGGATGGGCCACCCTGTATATGTTCTCTCTCCGTATGTTTATACGAGCCCAGCCCCAGTAAATCTGAGCATCTATTAGACATATTACACACATATATTTTCCCATACATTTGGAATCTGACTATGCAAGGATTGGTACATTGACAAGAGCCATTTGAATGTTTCCGATCAGTTACGAAACAATTACATTTAGTTTGAATAAAATCAATCAACAAAAATAAAGTCAAGAATTTTCAGTTCAATACCATTTTAAATGGCCAGCTTACGAGATAATTAGTAATTATGGTTATATACCTTCTGCATATGATACTGTTACATAAGAAATGTTCAAAATAGTCTTCTTTGAGTATAAGGCAGCAGCGGTGGCCGCAGTAGTAGACTCTTCGGTCTCCTGATCAGTCGCCGTGCGCTAAGCGGGTTCGAATCCCGTCCAAGGAGAAACTTTTCGCTTGGCTATGGATGTTGTGATTGTCCGTAGGTGGTAGACGGTCTCTGACTGTCGAACGTGGAGGTACCACCCGGCGGATCTCGTAGGCGGAGCCAGAATGTGTGCATGTTGCATACATACGTGTTCGCCAGAGTCCGTGTGGCGTTCCCCCTTCCCCCGGAATCCCCCTATAGCCCCACGGCACCCAATGGGTGGGCCTTCGTGGTAGTTGGAGTATAAAAAAAAGAATAATGAACATTTTCAAGATTGTGTTTTTCCGAGATGGGTAATGCGTTTAACGGAATACGTTAATCAAAGGCTCAAATTTTGAATAACGATCTCCTAGATGTGTAGGCCCAGCATAGATATATTATGAAAAATTAGTGATCATTTTAGGAAAAGCTGTGTGAAGAAGACACACGGGTTCCCAATATTTCGTGCACATAGAAGTACCATGTATTTTTAGACTAAGACAGTCGGTGTCAAAAATATCTGAAGCACTTTTGCATAGAGGTAAATAATGTCCAACCGACTTATTTTGACTTTTATGTTTACGGAATATTGGAACACCCTGCATCATATTATTCCAAGCTTTATGCATTCATCCTTGAACATAATCCTTGAAAATAATAAGCTATGATTCCATTATATAATTCCAGGAAGGGAATGGTCTTCTACCTGAAGACACAAATAATCCAGGGAAGGTGCTATTCAGTGACGTTGATTACGTTGATACATGGAAAGCTATGGAAGATGTGCATAAAAAAGGTTTAGCAAAAAGTGTCGGAATTTCTAACTTTAACGAACGACAAGTTACAAGACTTCTAGAAAATGCAAAGGTTGTTCCAGTCGTCAATCAGGTACAGATTGTTGTTCGTTATGCGGTATATTACAAAAAAAATGGACTGAGTAGTAAACGCGTTACTTCCGGAGACTTTAAAAAAACAAAGAATAATCGTAGTAAAGGTAGAGGAGCAGAAATAGAAGGATTGGTAACCCAACCGATACGTTTCTGCTTCATCAGGTCCAAGTGGATGGGAATCGAAAACACTGAAGTGAACATATATGCCTATCACATCTGGATACGGGTGTAACATGACGAAAAACATGGGCGCTAAGGGAAATACAACTAGAAGCCACCAACAAGCCACCAGCAGTCACATTTGTGGCTTCGGTCAGAAGACCTCGTGCTTACGAGGCATTAACTAACGTCGCAACTGAGGCCAATTTTACATGCAGTTAGATGAAGAATAAATTACAATCGTGTGCACGTTCGCACTAAGGGAACAGGAGAGCAGAAATAGAAGGATTGGTTACCCTTTTCATTTTTGTTTTCTTTCAGGTAACACCTGTATCCAGAGTGATGGGCAAATGTTTTCACTTTATGTATTTGGGGCCTGGGGATGGCAATAAGCAGAAACATAAGTTTCCACAAGAATAGTTGTCTATTTAAGTTTAAACAATGGGATCTGGGAAAAGTCCTTTTCGAAGTTCAAACATCAAAGCTGTAATTTACTAAGTTCTAACGCTAAACTTTTTCCACATCCTGGTCATTCGCAGTTTGACTTGAGACATATGGCCACGTTTCATCCTTATCCTAACGAGCAGTCTCGGGACCCTTTTGCATCGGCGCGCCGTCAGCGATCTAGCTTTCGTATACCGCTACGCCAATGGGCTTTGCTCCGCAGAGCTCTCCTCCATGATGCCGCCGCGTGATGTGCCTGCCAGACTGACACGCCTTCGGAGACTTTGGCCTCTAATCCTGAATGTTTAGCTTGCCTACACTGCCGCTTTTTTATCGGATCAAAAAAATTTCTCATAGCAGCCTCGGTGCCCTGGCATTTAGGCTTCTGCCTGTACGGCTGCTTCGATATTAAAAGGAAAACAATCAGCTGATAAAGTTCTTCATTATGATGCACCCCTGAAACTTTGAGTTTGAGGATTGTTTGATTTTGTAGGTGGATAGTAAGATCTTATGGAATCCTCAAGAACCAGGCCTAAGTAGACACTAGACAATGAATAAATGAAAGGTTTACAATAGCTTACATTTATTTCTCAATAACATGAGCACATCCACCTATTTTGTAACTAACGTATAGGCGTGCTTCCAGAAATGGTGAATGTGATACATAAGTTACATGTGCACCCAACATTTTGAAAACGTCGCAAATAATTGTTTCAGTTAATGCGTTTTTCCTATATATACGCTTAGCACTAAGTCTTAGGACCATCAGCAGTAGGTTGCGGAATAAAGGACAAGCAGTTGGCCTGTGACTGATCAGTGTTCTGGTCAACCAAAAATACCAGACTATTGGCCAGCTGGTCATAAATGCCGGGGCACTCAGCTACCTGAGACCAAGTGTAGACCATGCTGACGAGTTGCAAAATAGCATGAAACAGATGTTCATGGTTGCACGTCTGTGGTAAGACCAACGTAAGCTATATCAATAGCTTATTCAATGGCGAGTAGACCGTATCTACTATAGCACTAGAATCGGCGGCACCTAGCGGTCACGCTGGTGACCCGGCTGACAACTGGATACAGTTCCAACTTGCTGTTTTCACTCTCGCGGTGTTAGATATTAGTAATAGATCGCAGTGTGCTGTCTGATTTTTCTCCTATATCTCGTAACATTAGACAAGGCTCAATATAATGAGTTTCATTTCCACTAGATAAGGCTCAATATCATTACTTTGATCAGCTTAATCTAGGACTCATTTTTGGTGCAGTAAACCATAAACCATTGAGAACATAAAGGAGCTTAACATGAATGCCCATATATCAAAATCCAGGGGGGAGGGCATGTTTGGTTTACCGGTGCGCATCTTTAGATTGATTTGAATAGTTGCCAACTATTCAAAATGGTAGCAGAACCTTCAATGTTGGGATGTTTTGGAGAGCAAAAAAAAAACACACGTCACTTCTTACCCAAGGATTGGGTATCTTATTAAGACGGGGGGGGGGCAACCTGGTGTGGCAGAGCATCGTAGTCTTAGGGAAACCTATCTGGATATGCCTTTTGCATTGCAGAATTCATAAGTTTAATTTTAGTTTATCTTATAAAACACTATTTTCAGATTGAATGCCATCCATATCTGAATCAAAAGAGACTGACGGCATTTTGCAAAAGTAAAGGAATCGAAATAGTGGGCTGTCTCCACCAGACAGGCCATGGGCAAAGCCATCGGATCCAATTTTGATAGAGGAACCAATAATCAAAGAGATAGCAGCAAAATATGGAAAAACTCCTGCACAAGTTATTTTTAGGTAAACTTCACCTTCACACCATCACCGTCGATGTGGTCTTTTTCACGAGTATCCATTACGGTAGAATGACAGCTGACTATCTAGTAATATTTCAAAGGACACATAATTCTGACGGATCCGTCAATGTCAGGTAGACACAGCCAAATTCTGTTTTGGTTTCTTGTACGCTACAGATTCATGTTGTACTTGCTAAACGCTCCTTTATTTATAAAAGTTCATCACATACAAAGAACAAAACGCTACAAACAAGTTTTACTCGATTTATACCCGATTCATTATTGCCAACGTTGCAGACTAACACAAAGATGATACTTGCTGATCAGCTGTTTACCTCAGTAGACGTTAAAGCGTGCTAGATCTCTCTCTCAGACAGAAAAACTCAATGCACATACGACCATTACAATGATTTCAACATTTCATCATTGTGGGTAGCGTTGCACTAGTTACCAAAGGAATTAGTCATCCCTACAACTCAGCATCAAGAGAAGTTGGATTTTTGGCCTATTCTGAGCATCATCCCGCTATTGATCAAATCTGCAAATCCCTACATTTTACTGCTACTTACTTAACTTAAAAACGGATGTCGCTGCCAGGATAATTTTGTTATTTCGCCCAATATTCACAACAGAAGGAGAAAAATATGTTTACAATAGAAGTTAAGAAATTGTTGAAATCCTCATCTAATCAAGACACGATATATCCTGAGAAAATTGAACGAGCGATTTTAATTAAAATAATAAAAAAAAAATGGACGTATTTCATTTCATTTTACAAATATTCAAGATACAAGCCAGTCAGCTACATATCGGCCACCCTGTATAAATTATTTCATATTAGGGGTCCATATTTCTCTAATTTGAGAGATATTTTACAAGAATTCAACTATATGCATTAGATCCATTATTTCCAAAACGTCTTCTAATTGGTCATAGTCTTCTCGAGAAGTGCAACTTTTATTATAAGAAAATTAACTCAAAAATCGTCGATCAAACATCCCTTGAAATGCTCATCAGATAAACATGCTAAAGATCCTCGACTGTGAGAGCCGGGCTGGCAGTAGGAGATGGAAGAAAAGTCCCTTTTCCTAGGTTTTGCATCTCGTAAACTATTGCTACATTGATAATCTACATCAAATTTACAAAAAATTATCTCAGACGTTTTTACTGTGAGCTCAATAAATAGGCAGCTGCAGTTGATAAAAATAAAACACGTACGTTTTCAAAAAATACATAAAGCCACACTGCAGCCTCCGAAAAAAAAGAATTTTTAATTGTGCTATCAAGACGAATCTAATTATTTGGTCTAATTCCTTTAATTTTATCGGGACGTCTTGCCATTGTATCATATGTTGAAGGTTTTACACTCTTACATTAATGACAAGCATTAAATTTGAACAATCTGTGTTTGAACCTTTGACTTGCCCGTAATTTTGGACATTGCTTTCTTACACAAATAATGAAATTTATTCCAGGTATATCATTCAATTGGGTGTGATCCCCATACCAAAATCCACAAACAAAACAAGAATCGCAGAAAATATAAATGTTTTTGACTTTGAATTAACACTAGATGAGATATCAAAAATTGATGCACTGGATTGTAATGGAAGGGCGCATCCATTGTCCTTGTAAGTATTTTCAGTTTAAGTCTCAAGTTATTTGTTATTTCTAAAAATTACCAATAAGAAAAGTTTGTATTAGTATATGATGAATTTAGTAATTATTATATTTTTCATACATATACGAGGGATGTCTTTTAAGTTTTGCATATAGAAACATAGTAGGCCGCGCGGATCGAACGTCAGTACTGAATCTTAACCTCACTCTTTAGTGAACTTAAATTCAAAGTATCACAACAATACGTGCAGTGTTCTCACTACAGTGAATTTTTAAGTGTCACCAAGTCATTAGAAAAATGGAACTCAACCGAGAACATTTTCGCGCCATAATTTATTCCAACTTTCAGAGACAATTATCGCAACAAGAATGCCTGCTGAGTTACTGTCTGTTTTCGGCAACGAAGCGCCACATCAGTCGAAAATTTCCCGTTGGTATGGAGAATTCAAATGTGGACGGGTGAGTCTTAGCGACCATCTCAGGGTGGGTGCACCAAAAAGAAAACGTCGATGCTGTGCGCAAACTCTCCATTGAAGATAGGCATATGACATATCGCGAAACTGAGGCGTCCTTGAAGATCTCAAAGACCTCAATTCCAAAAAATTTACATAAATAACTAGGAGTAAAAAAATTAGTTTCTCGTTGGATACCCCACCTGTTGACTGAAGAGCAGAAAGCAGCTAGGGTTAATTGGTGTCAAAAACGCTTGACCGTTTCAATTCCGGAAACTCAAAAAATGTGTACAGCATTGCTAGTGGTTATGAATCGTGGATTTACTGTTATGAACCAGAAAATAAACGACAGTCGGCTGTTTGGGTGTTCCAAGGTGAAGAAAAGCCAACAAAAGTCATTTGTTCTCGAAGTGTTTCGAAAAAGATGGTCGCGACATTTGTGTCAAAAGAGGGTCATATTGCAACAATGCCTCTTATTAAGCAAAGAACTGTTACTGCGGATTGGTATACCAGCATTTGTTTGCCAAAAGTTATCACCGAGCTTCGAAAAATCAACCCCAAAAGAAGAATCATCCTTCACCAAGACAATGCAAGCTCGCACACAGCCCAAAAAACAAGGCAGTATTCAACGGAAGAAAACGTGGAATTATTAGACCATCCTCCATATAGTCCTGATCTAAGTCCTAACGATTTCTTTACTTTCCCGAAAATTAGAAACAGACTACGTGGTCAAAGGTTCCAGTAACCAGAAGAAGCAGTTGACGCATTCAAAAATGCCGTTTTGGACCTGCCAGCAAACGAGTGGAATAAGTGCTTCGAAAATTGATTCGAGCGCATGCAGACCTGTATTAATCTTCGTGGAGAATACTTCGAAAAACAATAAAGCCATTTAAAACTACCTACCGTGTTGTTTGATTTCCATATGCAAAACTTAAAGGACATCCCTCGTACAAGACATTTTGCAGCGAATCTAAGAACCAATTTATTTTATTTCAGTGTTATCCTATTTATTACATTTGATATATGGGTGATCTCTTTGAAGATGCTTATTTAACCCTTTCAGCCCCAATGGGACATATAAGTCCCAACGTATGATTTAAAATACCCACAGTGCTTTATATATCCCGTATTACATAGGAATGGTCTTTAATGGGTATTCCGAAGCATATGCAAGGCTCTCACTCGCGGCGGCATGCTTTGTGCTGATCAGTGTACTCGAAAACAACGTAGAAATAGCACGTGCTCGGCTGTTTGTCCTGTTTTTGTACAAATTTCGTCGTTGTTGCCTAGTTATTTTGAAAGATTCTTTCAGGTGAGCTAAGAGTCTATTAGAGCAACATTTCTATATATTTTTGATTATTTATTTTGCATAATTTGATTCAATATTTGTGTCTGGGATGCATGTGTCCCAGTGGGTTTTTTGACTGGGTGATTTATATCCCAATGGGTTTTTTAGCATGTCGAGCAAGAAAAATAAAAAACTGACTGATGCTGAGCTTCAATACTTCGCTGAGAACTTAGACGAAATATCTTCACCAGATGAATTGAGTACTGCCTCTGGGGAGTCATCTTCAGAAGAAGATCCATTTCATAACAGTGGAGAGTCAGACGAATCGTACAAGCCGTCCTCTAGTTCTGATGAAGATATTCAAAATGACAATAGCGATACTGAAGAAGAAGAAGGAAATATTACTGCGGAGAACTCAGGCGAACAATTTGAAATTCCTGCTATGAATGGCAATGTAATATGGTCTTTACCGACAAAAGATGCTCACATACCACGGTTCAGTATTCCGGATGAAATTCAGTGTGCCGTAGACCCATCGATTACCGCAAATTCTACTCCACTAGAAATATTCAACAAACTTTTTCCGCGTAGTCTGTTTATTTTTATTGCTAAATGTACAAACCAGAGAATTCAAATGTATAATCGCAATAACAAGTCTGCTACCCTTACTGATGCAGGAGAAATTATGATCACTCTCGGTTGCTCATTGGTTATGTGCTACAATAAAGTACCGAATCTTAGGCATTACTGGTCATCTCATCCATCTTTGGGAAACAAAGCGATAAAATCAGCCATATCTAAGAACAGATGTTTGTTTCTTCTTTCTAAGCTTTATTTTAACGACCCCAAAAAGCCAGAAGGTTCTAGTAAAATATATTACGTACAGGAACTCATATCCTGTTTCAAATACACTTTTCAGAAGTATCGATCTGACAGTTCGAGGCAAAGCATAGACGAAAGCATGGTTGGCTTCAAGGGAAGGTCGTCATTGAAGCAGTATATGCCCCAAAAACCAGTAAAGAGAGGCATAAAATTATGGTGTAGATGTGACGCTAAAACAGGATATACATATGACGCAAATGTATACTGCGGCAAAGAAGATGTTGAAAGATGCGGAACTCTTGGTGAAACAGTAGTCAAAAAACTATGTGAGACCATAAGAAATCCGAACGTTGTATTGGCATTTGACCGATTTTTTACTTCAGTACATTTGATGGACTACCTTCAGTACCCAGCAGTGGGAACTGCCATACTTACGAGAAAAGATATACCAAAAAAATTTAAAGAAAAAAGAAAAATGAATAGAGGCGAATGTGAGTTTTTGACGAATCAATCAAGCTCTCTCGCAACCAGATGGCAAGATACGAAAGAAGTCATTGTGCTGAGTAATTGCCATAGTACAGTCATGACAAGTGTAAAGAGAAAAGACAAAAGTGGCAAAAAAGTTGATGTGCCATGCCCTACCGCCATTGCATTTTATAACGAAATAATGGGTGGAGTTGATCTTGCAGATCAAATGAGCGGCGTTTACAATTTGGATCGAAAATCATGTAAATGGTGGAAAAAGGTATTTTATCGATTGCTGATGATTTCTGTAGTTAATAGCTGGGTAATATATAACGACTTACGCCGAACCCAAAAGAAAATACCCCTATTGGAATTTCTATTTTCTCTATCAGAAGATCTAATCGAAAAAGGGAAAAAACAAACTTTAGTTAAGCTTCGACGCATGGTAGGCCATCAAAAAGAACCAAAGTTATGAAAAATGTCGGGGATCATTTGCCAGTGGAATCAGCAAAAAGACGACGCTGCGCACGTTGTGCTATACAAAAAAAGGAGCGTAGAACCACTACTATTTGTACAATGTGTAATGTAGGATTATGTAAACATTGTTTTGCCCTTTACCATACTTCTTAAGTAATGAAACCTTTATGCTTTTTGTTTTTTGAAATAAAACTGTAATATCTTTGAAGCGCATAAAACCTGTTTTGTTTTCCCATTGGGACCAATATGTCCCTTTTAAAACACCCACTGGGATATATTTGTCCCACCACTAATTTTTTCAAAATTTTGAAAATTTTTATTCCAATTAAAATATTTTCCTATATTACTTGCTAAAAACCCATATTTGTCAAAAATATTCTTAAAGAACAGAAAACAAAAATTGGATCTGAAAGGGTTTTAATGAATGAATATTATACTAAGTGACATATAAATCCGAACACCCAGTTTAAATGGTTTTATTTTAATAAAAGTTGGTGAATGTATTTATCTTACTGAAAATAACAAGTGAAAAAATGTTCAGCATTATCAGTTGGATATTCCGGTTTTTATGCTGCTTTTTTTTAATTCACTAACGCTCTAAAAATGAATATTTCAGCCGCAGTAAAGAATCAACGTTGGCGGATTTTGGTTCTTGACATCCTTTACGATCGGTTACGATGCCTAGAGTACGGAGACCTGTACGATTTCTTCAACTTAGAGAGTTTGATAGGGGCCGTATAGTGGGACTTCGGGAAGCTGGACTTTCTTTTCGGGCAATTGCAGTTAGAGTGCAAAGAAGTGTAGACACTGTGGTTAGGTGTTGTCAGGCATGGCTTCGAGAAGGCCGTACGCAAAGAGCAAGGGGCACTGGACGCCGCCGTAGAACAACAGACCGTGAAGATCGCCGCCTAAGATTATTGGCTTAAGGGACCGTTTCTCCACTACCAGGTCCATTGCAAATGAATATTTTGCAGAACACGGAAGACCTATTGGCATGCGAAGTGTTTACCGACGAATGAGAAGTTTTGGCTTGTTTTCATACCGGCTACACTGGGTCCTCACTTTAACTCGAGAACACCGACGTAATCGCCTTGAGTGGTGCAGACAACGGTCACTCTGGGATCAGGAATGGAACAGTATTGTCTCTAGTGACGAGTCTCGATTTTGTTTAGGCATGCACGATGGTCGTGCCAGGGTTAGAAGGCGACGTGGTGAAAGGAGGAATCCACAGTTTTTTGTTGAAAGACATGTTCATCACACTGTTGGAGTTATGGTTTGGGGTGCTATAGCTTATGGTTCCAGGTCACCTTTAATTTTCATCAGAGGTAACATGAACGCGCAGCGTTATATCCACGAAGTTCTAGAACCCAATCTTTTACCCTATCTTGACACCTTGGCAGATCCAACTTTCCAACAAGTTAATGCCCGACCACATGTTGCAAGAGTCACAATAGACTTCTTTCAACATAATGATGTCACATTGTTACCATGGCCACCAAGGTCTCCCGACTTATTCCCAATTGAGCACGTGTGGGATATGATGGGTAGGAGATTGCTCAATTTGCAACGTCCTCCTCAGACTCTAGAAGCACTTCGAGAGGAGTTGGTGGTTGCCTGGAATGAGATACAGCATGCCTAGGCGCGTTGGAGAATGCGTAGCACATCAGGGTGCATCCACACATTATTAAAGGTCAAAGGGCTTTAAAGCAGTGCAATCATTTTGAAATTTTTATCCTTTACTTATTATGCTTCATTAAGTACTTATACAAAATTTTATTAAAATAAAACCATTTAAACTGGGTGTTCGGATTTATATGTCACTTAGTATAAGTTCTTAAGTCAAACTATTTTTTCCTTATACTCCAACTACCACGGAGGCCTCAGGCCCAAACACCCTTGGAGTACCGTGAGGCTATAGGGGTGTTCCCTCGCCACACGAGCTCTGGCGATGGAACATGTGTGCATGCAACATGTACACATTCTGGCCCCGCTTACGAGATACGCCGGGTGGTACCTCTGCGTTCGATAGTCAAAGACCGTCTACCGTCTAACGTTATGCATTTTTTGTTCATGTGTGGAAAGGGGTTTAATTGAAGTTGGATCGTGATGAGCCAAGAGCCGAAATAAAATGTGTCTGTGTGTGTGTATGAAATTTATCCAAACATTGTCACAACTAAGAATTGATATAATGCCGTAGAGGAGAACACCACTTAGGAGTATTGATTCTAGCAGGTGTTAAGTAGAAAAAAATCAATTATAGATGTGAGCATATGGATCAATCCTCGTAAATCGAGCACATAAATGGGCACTTAGATTAGTTTCTAATATAAGATAATGAGGGCTCTATATCTACTGACATTCTTAAATAATACAATAAATGCTTAAATATTATTTTTTATATTTTTCAGTGGCATTGGACATCCAAACTATCCTTTCAATGATGAGTATTAGATGATATGAACAATTTCGTTAACAGCTAGCCACATAAATATGTAAAATACTATATAAATATTATATAGCAGATTACAGTTCGTGTATTGTGGTCAAATAAACAGAGAATTGAAAAAATAAAATTGTTTTCAGTTGATGTGGTCAAACTTTTCTGTAGTACGTCAAGTTTTGGGGGTTTGCAGGTTGAACGCAATATTGGCTACATATTTCCAGTGGGAAAGTTCACTTTTTGATTTAAGAAAAAAAAACTAAAATTTAATGAAAAGTAGATATTTATTACATATTCGCATATTCGTGAATTCAGTGGGTTTTATTTCTTAAATATCATTCCGTCCAAATGTTGTCTCTAAGCTCCTCCAGTGTTCGTGGATTATTGGAATATACTGTTGACTTTAGATAACCCCACAAAAAATAATTGCATGGCGTCAGGAGGAAAAAGTGCTTTCACCGAGTTCATCGATTCTCTGGAAGTATGGGCAGTGGCCCCGTCCTGTTGAAGCCATGTGTTTCTGTTGAATCGACGTTCTGTTCTTACAATAAGAGCAAAAGAAAGTGTTAATGATGTATCGGTCGGAGTTGACTGTCAATGCATGAACGTTTTCATCTTCAAAGAAATACGGCCCAATAATACCGCTAGAGGATATGCCGCACCAAACAGACACTTTTGGACTATGTAGCTGTTGTTGATGTTTCTCTTTTGGGTTCATTGGTGTCCAATTTCCAAGATTTCTGTAATACGTAATCACTTTCCTTTAAAGCATGGATTGTTTGGATTTTATAAGGATGAAAACCCATTTTTTTCTTCATTATGCCATGCAGTGTTGACCTAGGGATTCCCAAAGCAGCGGAATGCTTGCGTACAGAACGCCGAGGATTTGCAATGAATCGAATGACTTACTCGACGCACATTTTCTTCGGTTAATACAGAAGGTGTCGGGCCAGGAATGGGTTGACTAAGAGTAGAGTATGTTTCACGGAACCTCTTAATCCACTTTTTCAATAGGTTCTTAGTTGGGGCATCTCTTGGTCGGCGAATGTTGTATGGTGTACAAAATTTCCGAAGGCAGCTACGTATGAATCACCACTCTTATAGCCGGTCCAGACACTACGTTTTATCAAACTATTTATCGAATCAGACAAGTCTTATCAAGTAAAACGGCGCGTGTAGACCACAAAACGTACGTCTTGCATGATCGAAATAAGGTTGTAAGATAAGTGCGAGGCATCATTTATGAAACTTGATTCGACAAGTTGGAGCGTGTGGACAGACTTCGGTTTTATTGGAAATTGTTTTAGTATATTTTCATAGTATATACGTATCACACTGTGTTACTTTGTGTATGCGTATTTAACTATATTTTGCAGTTTAAACTTTACAAGCAATATGTCTGATCTTCGTCAGTGTTCCCGACAATTTTTAAGAGAATTTATTGAACTCTATCGTAGTTTTCCTTGTTTGTGGCAAGTTAAAAGTGCCGAGTATATATGTAGTGATCGGAATAAGAAGTCACAGGCATATGAAATAATGATTAAAAAATACAAGGAGATTGATGAAGCGGCAAACAAAGAGACAGTTACCAAGAAAATTAACTCTTTACGCACCGTTTACAAAAAACAGCGTGCCAAAATAATGAAATCCACAAAAAGTGGTGCTGGTGAAGATGATATCTACAACCCGACGTTATGGTATTTTGATTTGCTTGACTTTCTGAATGATCAAGATCAAATAAGACAGTCGACAAACACTATCGATGATGAGGCACATCAAGAGGAAAGTGAAAAAGAGGTAAGTAATGTCTATTTATTAATAATAAAACTACATTATATAGGTATTGAAAGCATTTTATTGCCCAGAATTATAGAATTCACTTTTTATAACATGTTTACAAACTATGACCTATTGAAAAACTAAATTATCTTGCCATGGGACTGAGCCCTCATTGTTAAAATATTCACAGAACTTTTCTCTAACTATTTTTGCATCATTAAAAATGTGGCCTCTTCTTCCTCTTTGAAGGTCATGCATTAAATTAGGGTCACCTGTCTCCTAACGCAAGAGAATAATCTGCAGGAATATTTTCTCAATCCATACTTTCTGGGGGTGTGTAATTTTCTGGAGACTTCCTGCGAAGGAAATTATGTAATGCACAACATGTTAGAACAACCTTGTCAATGTTCTCTATCTTCAAATTTATAGCAGTATGGAAAACTCGAAATCAGGACGATAAAATGTCAAAAGTATTTTCATTAGTCCGTCGGGCTCTGGATAACCGGTAGTTAAAAATTCTTCGTTCTCTATTGAGTGTTTCCCTACTATATGGCTTGATAAGATCGGAACGCATTGCAAAGGCATTGGCTAGTTTTTCATAAAATGTGGTATTGAATGAATGAATCTTGAATTTTAGAGGCATCCCGGCCAGCATAAGGAGCCAGTGCATAGGCCGCTTAAGCGGGCCCTTATGCACCTCTACAATACTTAAATCACAAGCCTCGCCCTTTTAGCGAAGTTGAGAATCGCCTTGAGTCCAAGTTCCTTTACGTCCTGAGGGTCCAAAGTAATGGACCCCAGTATAGTAGCTCAGAGCTTCACAGCGACACAAAACGTGCGCCGAGGTCTCTTCCTCTACTCCGCAGCGTTCTCACAAGGGATCCTCAGCCACCCCCATCACGTGCAGGTGCCGCCTTAACGTGTTATGGCCAGACACCAGTCCCACCAGCAACCTTAGGTTGGCTCTACCCAGAGATAGGCAGAAGCGTCCATCCTTAGCACTGGGCCCTTCAATGAGCTCTCGTGCCTGGCGGAGATGTCTAGAGATACTTCTCCATTTCTGAGAGTGTTGTCTTGCAACCCACGTCTCCATTTTCCTCCTAGCTTTATGCGCGGTTACTCCTAGAGCTGGCTCAGGACCAACGAGCTTGCTGGCTGATCCTGTTTTCGCCAGAGTGTCCGCCGTCTCATTGCCCCTTATCCCAGCGTGCCCCGGTACCCATATTAACGATACCGGATGCCTCGCTGCGAGGCAATCCAGAGCCTCCCTGCATTGCAATACAAGACTCGAAGTAATCTTACATGCACTTAGTGCTTTCATTGCAGCCTGGCTGTCGGATAAATGTGGTATTAGCAATTACTCCACCATCAGAGATTCTACCATTTGTGCCAACATCGCAGTAGATAAACTCACAGTTCGCATTAGCAATTGCCATAAGAACTATGCTATGCGTCTTTTTGTAGTTAAAGTAATATGATCCGCTTTCCTTGGGAGGAACAATTATGATATGCTTGCCATCAATACTACCCAAACAATGCGGAAATTGCCATTTTTTTTAAAGTCGGCTGCTATTTGTACCCACTCCTGTTCGCTTTTTGGAAACTAAAACAAAAGAGATTACATTATTCTTACCTTTATAGTAACTTGTAAATACAGATTCTTATCGTTTAATAATTTTAGCGATAAAATTTAAAAAATGGAACCTTAAATGAGTTAATGGAATTTTGTTTTGAATTAAACATGTTTAAATTTTTTTATACATTTTATTTACGGTTGTATTTTTGTTGTATTATAAAATTGTAATATTTTTTGTTTCAGGTTGACTTGGATTATCAGAGTTTTTCTGCTACACCATCTACAGGTCGGCCATCTACTCCGACTAGTGATACCGCTACCAGTGCCCTGCTACCTACACGCACTGTAAATCGCAAAAAGAAGGCGGCCTCAAATAACAACGAAACAGCCGAAGCTATGTCTAAAATTAATAAAAAATTGGACTTACTGCAGGAAGATTCACATGACCGATTTGGAAAACATGTCGCTGCTAGACTTCGATCAATTCATCCTGATCAACTTAAATTTGCAATGAAACTTATCACTGATGTTTTATTTGAGGCAGACATATTATCCTTAAATAGATATTCCAAAATTATAACTGAAGACCAACACCCTCCTCAACAGTCTCCACGAGAAACCAGAAAGCCACACTTTAACCAATATGCGCCACCTTGTGTCACCAATACCGAACCAAATAGACAAATTTCAAGTCAAGGCTGGCGTCAAGGGTATTAGGTACCGGAAATCGGTCAAGAACAGCATGTCCAACAGCTACAACTAATTCATAATTCAACCACACCGGAGGAACCCGCTAACACAAATTTTACTCTTTAAGACTATCGAACCCCAGTTTCAGAAAAGGACACAGATTCTAATCCCAAAGATCTTGTTCAGTATGTTTTAAATTTTAAACCTAATGAGGGTGTTTAAAGAAATCAAAAACGTGTCATCACTAAATTAATTATTGGTAGTGTATTATGGAAGACATTTTTTTATTTTTTACTTTTCTTCACTAATGTTTAGTTTATTTCTAATAAAAGTATTTTCCAAAACTCACCTTTAGGAAGTCTTTTTTTAAAACCCTGTAAATAACGTCACAAGTTTCCAGTATAATTTCACTCAGTGATTGCTTGGACATGATGGTGGTGAATTCCAAGTCTTTGTAGCTTCTTCCTGTGGCAAGAAATCTTAACGTGGCACTAAGTCTCTCATGAGCTGAAATGGCTTTTCTCATACAGGTATTTTGCCTTTTAATGTAAGGAGTAACAGATTTTAACAAATGGTTGTATGTTTCAGTGTCCATCCTCAGGTAATTACGCCAATCATCTGGTTCAAGTTCACGTAATAATCTGACATGAGAAAATTCCTGTCTTTTTAATAACCATTCCCTCGACCATCTTAATCTTCGATTTTTTCGTTTATTTCTGCCTTTTGTCGCAATGCAAATACCATAGAACGACCAAAGAAGTGCTTCTTCCATGACTGAAAACGTCGCAAAACTAAAACTTGACCGATTAGTTGTAAACGTGTGGCCGCGCTATCTTTTGTACTTTCGAACAATTTGTTTGAACGTTTTATCGTTTGACAAAACGTAGTGTCTGGACCGGCCTTTAAAGTAAGCCTCGATAGCAAAAGCACGTTGCGCTCCAGTCCAACGTTACATTGTGATTATTTAACCCGCACGCCGAACGCGCCGATCGAGACCTCTCCCCACATCCTCGCGTATACGGCTGCCGCGTAATTCAAATTTGAAATGTGAACTTTCCCACTGGACATATGGTATAATTTTCTTTCCAACTGCTTAGTAGAGGACATATTTTCTAGATGTGGTTAGAAAGTCGGTAGCACACAGTCAAGCATTATCGATTGCTATGCCTAGGATTAGGTAGAAGTTATTAAAAGCATATGCTTTGTTTGTATTATGTCACGTGCCTATAGTAGTGCCTTAGCAGAAGTGGGTATTCATGGTGCACCAAGTCCGTCTGTATTTTTTATTCGTTATTTCAATAACTTGAAATATTCGAGTATTTTTCGGTTTGTAACATTAGAAAGTGAGATAGAACAAACTCCTCTTAGGAGCCTGCTTCAGTTTTGATTCCGTGTGATTCCGAAATCGTGTGTATTGCGCGAAAAAGACCACGTAGAAAATGAGTTTACATATTCGGGGTGCCCTAGTCGTCTCAGTCGTTTAAAAAGTAGTTGCTATGTGTGTTCTCACATACGTGTGAACGGAGGTTATGTAATATATATAAGCATATACGAGGGGATTCAAAATAGAAACGGTGTTTCGTGAGTTACGACAAAGTGATACATGTTCACCACCGACGTGTGAAGGGTGCAGTGTAGGCAGTAGTGGAGTTTTGAGAGATATGTGGTTATAGTCATGTCCCGATAGATGCCTTGCAAAACCTGTCGTTTGACGTAAAAGCGTTGTGGACATTGTGGGAATTTTTTCTAGTTTTCTAGTGTGGTATGCAGCATTATCAAGTACAATGACGGCATTGTCGTCAAACTTTGGGAGCTTTTCTTCAAAACATCGTTCAAATGAACTCCCTTCGACTCCGAATTGGTTAGATACATGTACCTAACGGATTCTTTAGGCGAGTGGTTAGTTTATCTAAGAAGACTTGTCTTGCTGATTTAATTGTAGAGTCAGCCCATAGTTTAGGTTTTGTATATCATGCATTTATCCAGGTTTCATCCAAGTCATAACTCTCCCTGCCCTGGTCACGGTATTTCTCTATTGATTTTAAATAAATTCTTCTCCATAAAATAATCTCTTGACTGTCCATCAAAATACTATTTATGCCTCGTTTTCTATACTCAAAATGTAATTCTTCATCACTATTAACCTCCTGTGATACTTTGTGTATGGTGGGAAGTTCGTGCCTTCCAAAAAATTGATGGACTTTGCGTCTGATGGGATTCCGATCAAAGTTATCAACTGTATCCAACAGCTTCGTGTAATGCAGCCTCTGGTGTGGTAGAGACAATTTTTTGAAACGCTAACGAATGGGGTATTGGTAGAAGGAGCCAGTCAAAAATTTGTTTTTCTCCTGATTCCCATAGCCCGTAGTGAAGTTCGAAGTGCACTTGTCAAAGGTCAATTTTTTGGCAGGTCTGCCTGTGATCTCGTACAACTAGTGTTATTTTTTAAAGGTGCAATTTTGGTGTTAGACGATTTAAAGAAATGGTACTTCTTATACGATTTGTAAAAAACAGCACAAGCCTAAGCTAGACGTTTCCACAGGCAAGTATTACTATTATGTTAATACAACGCTGTCACTTTGGTATACTGTGGTAGACGAATGAGTCATGAGTATGCACTAAAACTAAGCAACATTGGCAACACAATGCATGAAGACCTTGCTTCCCCTAATCGGCCTAATCTATTAGAATTCGTTGATAGCACCAGAATCGGCGGCATCTAGCGGCCACACTCATATAGTTCTGACAGCTTGCTGTATTCACGTAGGTAGTGGTCGATTCTGGTTAAAGATGGTACTTTGTTCTGTCTTATTTCGACAGACCGTATATTCTGGATAGAGTAGAGTTGTTCAGCTTTCGTTCGTTGTCTACCGAGCCTTCACCATGCTGAAGAGTTGCCAAATATCCCGAAACACCTGCCCATGGGTGACCGTCTGTGGTCGGACGAACTAACACTATTTTGCTACCTTTGGGGTACCCGAGAGATGTCTTTTAAGTTTTGCATATAGAAACATAGTAGGCCGCACGGATCGAACGTCAGTACTGAATCTTAACCTCACTCCTTAGTAAACTTAAATCCAAAGTTTCACAGTGAATTTTTAAGTGTCACCAAGTCATTAGAAAACTGGAACTCAACCGAGAACATTTTCGCGCCATAATTTATTACAGCTTTCAGAGACAGTTATCGCAACAAGAATGCCTTGTTTTCGGCAACGAAGCGCCACATCAGTCGACAATTTCCCGTTGGTATGCAGAATTCAAACGTGGACGGGTGAGTCTTAGCGACGATCCCAGGGTGGGTGAACCAAAAACGGCAGTCACCCAGGAAAACGTCGATGCTGTGCGCAAACTCATCATTGAAGATAGACATGTGACATACTGCGAGATTGAGGGATCCTTGAAGATCTCAAAGACCTCAATTCAAAAAATTTTACATGAAGAATTAGGAGGAAGAAAATTAGTTTGTCATTGGATACCCCACCTGTTGACTGAAGAGCAGAAAGCAGCCAGGGTTAATTGGTGTCAAAAAACGGTTGACCGTTTCAATTCCGGAAACTCAAAAAAAGTGTACAGCATTGTTAGTGGTGATGAATCGTGGATTTACTGTTATGAACCAGAAAATAAACGACAGTCGGCTGTTTGGGTGTTCCAAGGGGAAGAAAAGTCAACAAAAGTCATCCGTTCTCGAAGTGTTTCGAAAAAGATGGTCGCGACATTTGTGTCAAAAGTGGGTCATATTGCAACAATTTCTCTTAATGAACAAAGAACTGTTACTGCGGATTGGCATACCACCATTTGTTTGCCAAAAGTCATCACCGAGCTTCGAAAAATCAACCCCGAAAGAAGAAGCATCCTCCACCAAGATACTGCAAGCTCGCACACATTCCAAAAAACAAGGCAGTATTTAACGGAAGAAAACGTCGAATTATTGGACCATCCTCCATATAGTCCCGATCTAAGTCCTAACGATTTCTTTACTTTCCCGAAAATTAAAAACAGACTGCGTGGTCAAATGTTCCAGTCACCAGAAGAAGCAGTTGTCGCATTCAAAAATGCCGTTTTGGATCTGCCAGCAAACAAGTGGAATAAGTGCTTCGAAAATTGGTTCGAGCGCATGCAGATGTGTATTAATCTTCGTGTAGATTCGTGTAGAATACTTCGAAAAACAATAAAGTCATTTGAAACTACCTACCATGTTGTTTTATTTCCATATGCAAAACTTAAAAGTCGTATTTTGCTATTCAAACGGTAACCAGGCGTGGGCACACGACCCTGTTCTCCTCCCTAAAGGCGAGAATACACATGCCAGTAAAATAGCATGCCAGTGGCCAGTAACTTGTATGCTAACTACTTGTCCTACGACATCCCAAAATACACGATAGTTTTGGATATGCCAGTCTGTGAAAACTTTCCTTTATCTTCTTTAACTCTTGGTGGTAGGTTGTTCTTAGGTTTTTTATCTTATTTTTCATAAATTTCAATGTTAAATTGTTATGAGTCATTTGCTTCAATAAAGACTTGTAAGCATTGTCTCTAGCGATTTTATTTTTATACAATGGAGATCATGTATTCCATAAACACGGATACTCCCTATACTGCATAACAAACAATAAAGTCTTTTCGTCTCCCCAACGAGCCATTTTGCCCGGAACTAAACAAATAGTTCTATAGTTCAAGAATCCGTTTTTCACATGCGAGTTTCTGGTAAGGATGTCGTTCACAAACCTTTGAACATGACTCGCATGTTTCCTCCCCTCCATTCCCTCGACGAAATCCTGCTACTGGCACACAAAAATCAAACGTCTTGCGATCTACTGGCGTGCTATCTTCTAGCGTGCTTTCTTGCTGGCAAAGAAAGTCACACATGCAAGTAGCACGCACAATCCAGTAACTGGCATGCTTCTGTGCGTGTAACAAGCATGTGTATTCTCGCCTTAATAGGCGCTCATGGATATGTCAACTTCAGGACAGAGTAGTAAATGGAGCAAACATGTATTTCAAGCGATTTAATTTGTTCGATGTAGGAAAACTATAAACATACGTGTTAAAAATCACCATAATACATATTTAAATAAATTAATAAATTAACAAATACGCTTATGTACTATTTCGACTGAGTTTTTACAACAGGAGGAATATATACAAAACTAGGAACAACTTTGTGAAAAGATAATCTACATCCAATAGGCAGATAGTTTTTTATTTTAAAGAAAGGTTTGCTTGCCACTTTTGCGCTCATCTCACTTCCTTATGAGTACAAAAAGAGGAAGAAAGCTACATGTTTGACGATCTCACTGCCAAAAAAATATAGTCAAAATGTTAAAGGTGCTAATAATGTTGCTTATACAGTTTTTCTTCCAGTGAAGAACCAAAATACTCTATTTGTAATCCCTCCTCCTAATGGTTTGTATAATTCACGTGTTGTACATGACGATAGACAACCATATGCCGTGTTTTAGCATACAGGGATTTGAAAGATACTAGCACCATCTATGACCTATTAGCAGAAGATAAGACATAGCGTCAAGTAGGTTGACTGTGCACTTCCTACGCAACGCCGTTATCGGTTCATAAAGGAAACAAACACGTCCATACAATTAGTCCATATAGATTCTTGCCCTGCCTCACTGGGCAACGTTGCCTGTCCCCGATACCTAAACCTGTCAGACGTGGCACCGCGGCCAACCCAATCCCTACAACCCTCACCTCAAATTTGTTCACTTCCAAATTTCCTTTACAAAACTTAGAAAGATCCTCTGAAACTTCAAAAAACGAAGCTGGTGCGATTTTTTTGAATTTTTCCTATTTTCGACCTTCTTCTCCGACGCCACTTGACCGATTTATAAAAACTACAAAGCTTTTTCGTCCTTGGCATAGTATTAACCATGTGTGAAAATTTCGTCAAAATCCGAGTAGTGTTTTTCAAGTTATAGGCGGTTACAAGCCAGGCAGACCCACATACCGACAGACAGATACACTGACGGAAATGAGTGAGAATGTACAATGTACATGTCATATAAAATTAAAAAAAAATCTCAATATCGGACATTTCCCCGCCAAAGGCGTGGGAAGTAAAATGAATTCAGAAATCTACTTTGGAAAGAGAGTGTTTGGTTCTGCTACTGTATCATAGATGGCGCTTCTTTAATGCTTTTTTTAATAAGGCATCTTCAGGCATTGATTAACGTCTTCCACCTGATGAGGCCCCAGGGTGCCCAGGGCTTCCAAAGGAATTGAAGATGCTAGCACAATCTATGAAACGATAGCAGAACCCAGCACTCGCTCTTTTCAATGTAAATTTCCAAATTAATGTGTGTATTCTTATAGATGGTGTAATCTTTCAGACAACGTTTGGCTGTCGAAATATGGCTTTATTTAGGTAGAATACGTTATTCAATGGTATAATCTATTTGGGAATTCAAAGGAAGTGCAACCGACGTCGGAATTGGGTAAAGTCAAGTTGCATCAGGTTGATTTTGGTAAGTACGGTGCCTAAAAGCATCTTCATTGCTTATCAGCTTTGGCAAAATAGACCAGTTTTGAATATATTTCCTCTCTTCATCTTAAAATTAGAAAAATCGATTGAGATCGGATCTGCCCAATGGATCTAGACGACCATCTTGAAATCATTCATCACAATCATCACATTCGGGAATAGTTGGAGGTATGTGGAGTAGACCAGCGGCAGCGCTTTGAGTGAATTGAGACGACGGCGACATTTCGTCATGTTGCACGTGCGCATCTTCAAATTCTTCATCTTCGACGGACGCAGCATCCTCGAGATGCTTCTCCAGCGCCATGAGTCGCATTTGGAAGAAACGTTTCTCTTCGTTCAAGCAAGCGAGATCTTTTTCTTGCTCGGCGATCACTTGCCGCAAATCGGAGATTGTGTTCAGGTCTTCTTGTCTTGATTCTCTTCGTTCGTACCTCTGTCTTACCTCTTCGAATCTGAAAAACATAATAATTGCTTATGTATCTAGGGCGCAAAGTGCACTTTTGTGGACCGCTGCGTGAAAATAGCACCCAAGGTGTGGAGTGCCACGGGCTTTAACACATATAGATGACATCTAAATGGACGGTCTAAATTTTTAAAAACCAGATTGATTGACAGACGTGACGTATGTCTAATAGCGAAAGCAATTTAGCTATGCCATACTTCATGAAGAGTTTGCTCATAGCAGCTAGATGCAACTAAGGTGACCACGATAACGACCGCTAAAGTTACTTTATCGCCCTGGGTACAGTCCAGGCTGGAAGGCTAGAAGTAGGACGTGCTGAAAATCTAATAAGTCCAAGGTTCAAAACATACGTATGCGAAGTTGCCCAGGATATCTGTGTTGATGAAAAGTATGCGGAAAAAAATTCGGGTTGTTACTTGGTTAATGCCACGTCTAATCTTCGTAATTGCTGTTTTTGTTGGTAGTTTCCGTTTTAAATTATAAACGAATTGTAGATTTTGCAAACTCTAACGGGCAAAGCTGAACACTTATTCAAATAAAAAGTGATATTTTCGTCTGTTTTTATTTTCTCTCTGAAAAAATTAAGATACATAAAGATTTTTATAATTTTCTTCAAAACGAATCGACCGGCTTAAAAAACTCAGATGTCAGAATAAAAGACTTCGAAAGACTTTTCAAACAAGCTATCAGTCGATACCCCTTGTAATTTAAAATTTTCAAGGGGATGACCCTGGGAGGCAGATTGTGGAAGGAAGTGAAGTGGCTTTTGGTTGAAAAGTTGGCCCCCTTGATAAATCTTTTGACGTGTCTCGGCTTTTTTTCTTTTAATCAGTGGTGCGAAGTTTTCAAATGAACACCCTGTATATGGAAAGAACAAAGGAAAATCGCGAAAACTTATATACGCAACATATAATTATTAATAATAGATCATAATATACATAAATTAATGATTTAAAATTAAAAAAAGTTAAATTAATTTTTTAATCAGTCTATTACCATTAATCCTATCAGGATGAGAGATGGAGGGACACAAAGAAAATAAATTGAATTATTCTGGCGGCGCTAAATTTTGATACCAGAATTTTTGATAAATTCCATAAAGCAGGAAGTCACTTCCGGTTTTTGAAACGAGAGAAGTGATCATGTATTGTATGGAGCAGGAAACCGACGCACGAGTAAGTTAAGGTGAAGATTGTCAGCGTGTAACGTGCTTTATACATAAAAAGAAATGTGATCCAAGTCTCCCTGACACTGAACTGCTCACAAAGTTCCGATGGTATTAGATTCAACCCAGCGAGGTGCGAAGAGAAAGAGCCATATCCAATTTTCGTACGAGTAATACAGAATATGTACTTCCTCGGAATCTTGAAGTTATCATGCCAATATGATCGGGGTATATCTGTCTGGATGAAAGTGAATCTGGAAGGATGGGATGAACATTATTTTTCTCATTCCCGGGACAAGGATTCGAACATATATTTTTTACAAAGCAGTTGTACTCTTCTATCGATGCAGTGGCTTGGAGAACGATGCCATCTGAGATGCTCAGCCTAGCCAATTCATCTGCTCTTTCATTAAACGAAAGACCATTATGCCCTTTGATCCAGGAAAGATGGATGTCTGCATCAGCAATTTTCAGACCGACCAAAATTTATTTGATAAGTAGAACGTAGATATCAGTAGGTGACTTGCATTTATTGATATACTTAAAACTACAAGGACAGACTGTGAATTGAAAGAAATTACAGGTTTCTTGATGTTATGCTTTAATAATGGCATAGAATATAGAGAACAAATTTGGTAATTTGAACATAGCAGAAACATCATCACCACCAACATAGAAAGCACATCCTGAACCAGAATTAGACATCCGTGAAGACATCTTTATCATTGTGACTATTGCATATTGACAAGAGAATCTTTTTATTGATATGAGGATTCTTACCGTAACTGGGAATAGTTATGTCATTGTTTTTCATAAGCTGGGATATATCAATATCGTCTCTGGTGTAGATATTTTTGACTGCAGTTAAATGTAAATTGAATTGCTGGAAGGCTGCCTACTGTCAGTACTTATTAGTGAGATCAAAAGTGTTCAGCTGGCATATTTTTCAAGGTACTTGTGTATCCTGTGATATTTGTTTAAGGAGGATTTTTTTGCGATCATTTTCTTACGGAGATGGAGTGGTGGTTCCAGTGCTTCAACCACCAGCACTTTAGTAGGAGAGGAGCACATTTCTCCCAAAGATTCGACCAACGTACATTAGACAGTGACTATTGGGCAAAGGTCCTGCGGACCGCCAGACAAACAAATGACGAATAGTAAATGACATGACGTCACAGCACATTATTCGATTGGTCAAACATGGGGGACAGCGTTTTCGCCTGTCTAAGACAAATATATTTTTATATTAAAGTTTTTCGGTCTTTTAGGTCTCAATATTAACTATTTAAGACTTACTTAAAATAAGTTTCAACCAGCTTACTGTAAAAAACTTACGAGTATTAAATGTTATACTTTTTGTAATGTTATGTGTAAAAAAATTATGTACAAGAGAGCATTAATAAAATGTATGCTCAAACTTCAAGGTATTGTTTCTTAGGGGATCCTAAGAAGAAAACTTTCCAGTGACGAAGTTCGATAACGTTCCGTTTTCAAGACCCCGGTATTGTTTTTTCTACAATATATTTTTTCGTAAAGACGGTAACCCTTCAGTTTTGTTAGAATTAGTTATTTAGCAGACACACGGCTTGTCAATTTAATTCAAGTCATTTAATCACACTTACAGCTTTGTGAGACACTGACACTTCTTCTGCAGATGATCAATAGTTTCCTGTGATTGTTTTTGTGCATTTAGGTACTTCAATCGATAGGTTTCGCTCTCCTTCTCGTGATCCTCTTGGAGCTTACTGATTGTTTCCAGCAGACCTCTACTCGGAGCGGGAAAGGAAACAAAACTTTAGGGGTGGTTCACACGCCAGAGCAAAGTAACGGGAGTAAATGCATTGCAAGACAGGCCTTAGCAAATGTTAGGTGTATAGCCAACAGCTTGAGGTTTCAGTTTCGGTACCATAATCGCCCATTTTGGATGGATCACGTAGCAAATTGAAGATAATATTGCGTAAATAATGTTTTTTCCTCATGTTCCGCTATGACTTTGTAAAAGTATTCTCGGATTGACAGATTTTTCGATCTATTTATTGTTCTGTAATTGTTTTTTTTTTTTTGAGTCACTGTGTACAAGATCCATCCAAAACATTGAACATTCTGTAACAATGTCATAATAAAATCAACATATAAATGCACCTTTGCAACTGAAACGGACTGCAAATAAAAAAAAACTATGCAGTGAGTTTTGTTAGCTATTTGTAATGTTACTTATTAAGGTTAATAAAAATAAGGAAGGATAGCAAAAGAAACAGCATGGTTTGAAAAATGGAATTGGTTGAATACCAAGCAAGGATAGGATAGATGAAAATGGATAAAGCCTTCAAGTTATGACTCGCTTCGGTGGAATGGCTAAATATGGGAGAAATACAGTAATTAGTTTATTAGGAAGAATATGTGATATCAATTGTTTAATCGGAAACTATATTGATAAGTGTTAAGAATTTATTTACACATTAATCGACTTGAAATTTTAATACAATTTGTTAGTGCTTATGTTTTCTTTAACAGTATTGATGATAATGATAGTGAACTTGAAGAGAGCTCTAGAAATTACGTTAATGAGATGAAAAACAGTGACCATATCCCTAAGACCAGAAACCATTTTCTACACAGGAAAGCAAAAAATTCTACGTCACTGACAATATTAAAAGGTATTTAAATCACATGGATCGTCAACCTTCTTACGTCTTTGCCAGATTTCGGAAATTTAGAGTGTAATTCTAGTCAAAGTTTCTTTATAAAAATTGAACATTTTCTACTTCAAAAACACGAGATAATAGGACATATGTGATTATAGCACCATCTATGAAACACTATCATATTTAAAGTATATACAGAGTGTCCTGGAAGTTGGGACTTTCCTTTCCAGAAACAACTATGTTTGTAATAACAAGGCTAATGTGTAACAGAAAAAGTAAAAAAATAATGAGAAAGTACTCATCGTTCATCGAGAAAAAATTCCAAGTACAGTTCTGTCACTTGTAAGTATTGTTCAAAGTTGTCTGCGATAGATTCATAGACACATGTATGAGCTCGATGTAGCCAAGCAGCAGTGCAGGCCTTTAGAATAGATTGCCTTTCCCGAATGTATGCAGATGATTGCTAAATTTGCACACTTAGTTAGTCAACCGTGCTAACTCCAATTTTATAAACTAAACATTTCATTTCGCCAAAAAACTAGAAGTGTCTTTAAATACGATCTTCATGAACTCGCGAAGCCCCGGTAGCATTTTAAAGACACTCACCGTGAATCAAAATAATACAAGCAACCCCGATATTTTTCTAAAACCGATGTGTTAAGGTTTTGTGTACAAATGCGGCCAGCGCCTGGATTGAATACCCATCAGCATTGTTTGATCTGACCAATGTGCAGGACCGGATTTGGTTTTCTTTAGGTTTGACTGCTTTTGCGGTGCCTAACATCTCGCTAACTTTAAGACTTTGGGGTATATGTTGCTAGAAAGAGCTGCTTATTTCAGATCTATATGCGGTGGAGAGGAAAGTCCCAATTTTGAGGACACCCATAGTAAATAGATAAACAGTATTTATAAATTCTCATAGATGACGCTACGGTATCTGATTTTATCTCGGATATTTATTTTGGCGAGCGAATATACTATTAGGATGGCTATCTAGAATACGTTCATCAATGATAATATCATCCCAATGTTATCCACTAGTGGGATAGAAGTTTAGATTTGTCCGTATCTGGACAAGGCGATATTTTAGGTAAGAAATATTTCACTGTTTTTCGATTTAACCTCTGCTCTACAAATATTGGTAATGTTTTTTCAATCATTAGATCAATATTCACACATATCTAGTTAGCCTACCTCATTCTTTGATCCGCTTCTCTGCGCACTTTGGTCATCTCAAAATTCTGTTGCGCGATTTCTTGGTTCAGAACCTGCACACCGCCTTCCAAAGTATCTACGTTACTTTGTAAATCGTCAATAACACCCTCTTTGCTTTGCAATTCATTTTTCAAAGCGTCAACGGTTTTTAGTAGTTCAATTTCTCTGGCTTCGTGAGATTTCTGTTGACTGTAGAATTGCTCTTCTAGAGTTTTGTATTTTGTAACATATTCTTCTTCGAGGAGCGAGATTGCCTCACTTTTTTGGTGTAGAAGGTTGTTCCATTGTTCATCTGTATATGTAAAATAGATGCTTAAATGAATGCTCAATGGGGTATATACTGATGCACGAAGAAATGCATCCAAAGATTACTCGGGAAGTAGATCTAAGACAATTACGCAAATTTGGAAAAATGTTTTCAAAATAGTGACAATTTATTTATTTTGAGACACCGTATACGAGGGCAGTTCAATTAGTACCCGTGTTTGACAACAGAGGGCGTTCCTGAGGGAAGTTAATGTTAGGTTAGTTTGGATTTGGCAGCCATTCAGGTCACACGTGTTTCGTGATTTTCGCTAAGACGGAAAAAGAGCAGTATCGTTCGGTAATTCGCTTTTTGTTTTTGGATGGGCGAGATGCGAGGAGATAAAAGGAAAGTTGGATGCTGTTTATGGGGACACCTCGCCATCCATGACCACAGTTAGATATTGGTTCAACGAATTTAAACGTGGACGAAACTCCGTTTTTGATGAGGATCGGCCAGGACGCCCGGCAGACGTGGTTACCGAGGAAATCATTCAAAAAGTCCACGACATGATTCTCACTGATCGACGAACGAAAGTGCGCGAAGTAACAGAGGCCCTAGGTGTGTCGACCGGAACGGCAGTCAATATTTTACACGCTAAGTTAGCTATGAAAAAATTGTCGGCCCGATGGGTGCCGCGATTGCTCACGTTGGACAACAAGCGGATGCGGCTGTTAACTTCGACGCACTGTCTGGAGCAACTTAAGCGAAATCCGAAGCAGGAACGTTTTTAAATAGGGATTATGTTGAAAAATAATAAGAATTTTTTTTTATATGGTGTCTTCATTTCTAACACGGGTACTGATTGAACCACCTTCGTATGTTATGTTATTCAATTTTTGGATTCTAAGCGGGATTCTAAGTATATTTTATGTCTTTCATCTCTGATATAGGTCTAGCAGTTCTCGAAATTTCTTTAATTGCGTGTAAAGAATCGCAAATGCAGCCAGCATTTGAGCCGTCATCAATTTTTCCTGTATGTTTATATACACAGTAATATTAGAAGTGTTACACCCAGAAAATACAATTTCTCTCACTTGATGGTTTGGAAATGAGGTAGTCTTACATCAAGAATGAAACGATAACATTCCCACGAAATTTTATTGACAAGTAATAATAAAAAGAAATAATAATGTGTTTGGCTACCCCGCAGCTGGAAACAGTCCTGTATACGTCTAGGCATCGACAAAATTAGATGATCGATGTCTGTGACATCTCATTGCAAGCAACTCGAACTTCGTGGGTTAGGAGTCTGTGGCGGACGGTGCAAAGTGGATAGTCTCATCCTCATCATATCCCACACTTGTTCGATGGGACTTAAAACCGGCCACGGTAAAACATTAACGCTTGCTTCTTGAAGAAAGTCCGTAGTTCGAAGAGACCAACATGATGACGTGCGTTGTCATGCTCAAAAAGACGTGCGGATGGCCCTCTAGATACGGCAGTAAAGAGGTTTGTTGGACATCAGCAACATAACGAGCAGCAGTCATATTGCTTGAACAAAGAGAAGGGGTAATCGGCTAACATAGGTAATAGCTCCACAAACCATTCGTCTTACCCTTCTACGACCAATGTGCGTACCTACACAGATTCGTGATTCGTCGTTGAAAATGACATTATGCCATTCTGCCTCCCAATGTTGCCGTTCTCTGCTCCAGTTCAAACGTTGACGCAGTCCGCAGTCGGAGAAAGCACTAGCTGTGGACGGTATGAAAAAAAGTCCAAATGCTCGAATGCAGCAATAGAGGGTATGCATAGTAACAGATCTACCTTCATCTCCAAACCGTTGGTCAGGGATCTGACGCATAGTGGCAAAACGGTATCGTAGTGCTAGTTGTCTGAAGCGCCTATCTCAACGCTCTGTACGACGCCTCGGTGGACCAGTTGGCCTTCTTCATGTTCCTCTACCTTCTTCTATCCACACACGACACACACGCATTACCGTTATTGCAGTACAATTAACACGGCGGCCAATTTCGCGATAGGACAAACCAACATATCGATAGGCAATAATTCTACCAATGTCAAAGTCGCTAACATGGTGATAATTTGGACGTCTTCGAACTCGAGGCATTTTGTTAAGCATAACACTAGTAAATGAAAGAGCAATGACTAAAAATATCTGTACTATTCAGCTCTCAGAAACTGTTTTCTTCGCAAAAACTAAGAGTTAACATTTTAACAAAGGTTAACAAAAACAAAGACAAAACGTTGACATTGTTGCCACAGCATGCTTTAAATATTGTGATTATGTTGCCAAAAAACATGTTGAGGGAATTTTTTTTCTGGGTGTAACACTTGTAATATTTCCGAATATATTTGCCATACGATTTGTAACGGTTTTTTTATATTTATAAAAAGAGAATGAAGATTGAATTCGAAAAAAAAACCCTAAAAGCTGGTATTTTCAAATAGCGATCACCTATTCTTGTAACATTAACGATAATATAATGCGAATTAAGCAATACCATCACGAAAAGTTTTGTACATGGCTGTCTACTTCTTAAATTAGCAGCTTGAGAGGTATTCATCCTTTGATAATGAATTGACTTCAATTTCAATTGGCCATGATGTAGCAACAGTGACGTATCCTTAGAAGTTCACCACACGCACAGCCATGGTCAACAAAGAATAACCGATCGTGAAAAGCTGTCTGGTGCATTATTGCAACAGATCTTTCTGAATACCTCGGAAGCAACTGATGTGAGAACTATCCAACCTTGATCTTGTAATGCTCAGTTCAATAAAATTATAGAGACTTTTTTATTCCTTTTTTAATTATTTTGTACGTATATTATTATTTATCCAAATATCGGATAACGTCTACTAAAGCAAGTTTCGTCCTATAAGTATACCGTAACAACAAAGTTTTAATGACAACAAACATTTTTTTCAAAATTTTGGCAGCATAGTAACCGATTGGGATTTTTCATAATGTAATCTACAGGAAACAGTTAACTGATTTAGCTCACCAGATATGAAGCAGGCCTCAACGCACTAGTATTTTACACCATGTACAATAATGGATCAACTATGACATTTATTAGAAACACCTTAAGCTACAAAAATGCACCTACGATATTGATGAACAGTTTGCAAAAAAAAATTATTTCGGTAGAATTATATCAATTTTGGTACTTGCTCCAGTATACTAGTTATTCCATTTTGAGAATATACCGATTCTAATAATAGATCCACAATTAGAGACCGGAAAGTCTCCAGGATATATCTTTTTGGGTCACTCTATCAATGTAATTTGATGAGAAATTTTCATCTTAAGAATTGTTCATTACATCGAAATCAAACAGGAATATGTTTTCCAGCTAAAATAATTTCTGAACCACCATAATACTGTTAAAAAAAGTCAGCAACATTTCTTTAAGGTCAGTCCGTCTCTGTTAATCTAACTGAACCAATTGTCTTCCATGGGCACCTTGATATGATGTTCCAACCGAATACTAGCTGTCAAAGTTTCAGATTAATCAAACTTCTGGAAATTATGCTCAAAGATTCCGTCAGATACATTCGTAGATACATACAGGCCAAGCTTATAAAAGCGTGTCAAAAATATCTTACCTAATTCATTCCTATGTTGTTGTATCAATGTTTCAACCCTTTGTTGTGCTTCTTTTTCCATTTGTTCTTTTACCATTACTAAATTTGACCTAAGCAAGCTCACTTGATTTTGCCAATATTCTTCTAGCTCCTTCAGTTGAGTTTCATGGTCTTGGTTTATCCGTTCTGTAAATAATTCATCAAGGCACATTAAATACCTAGCAGAACATGCAATTGATTAAACATGTCAGATAGTTTGTGAATTAAAGTGCGTTCAAGTGAATGATACAAAACTAACACGGCTGCATTATGAATACATTACCTAGTTCACAATCATGTTCCAAAACAAGTTTTTCATACTTGTCATGATGTGACATATCAATTTTATCCATTAATCTCCTAAGTTCTATAATATCTCTATCTGTATCAGTCTGTTGTTTGATTAGTTGTTCTCTATAATGCTCATCTTTCTCTTCTAAAGATTTCTTGAGCACTTCTACCTGAAAATTATAACAACACCTCACAGTGATCGATTTGTGCATTCTCATAGAGACATATACACGGACCTTTATAACTAACTGTTGCATTAATACCTTACCTCTTTAAGACAGTTTCTTAATTTTTCTTCCCATTCATCCTGAGCTTTTTGGAAAGTTTCATCTTTCGTCTTTCTCACACTCTCCATCGCCATCCATTTTTCTTCGTTGTGGATTTGTTCAAGTTCATTCTTTAACCTGCATTGTTGAAAGACAAATGAGTAACAACGCAATGGAGAAAAAGATCACCAACTATAGAAACCGATGACTTTTGGAACTCACTCTTATTTGTAATCTCCATTCTAACACCAAATAATCTGACGATAAGCTAACATCATTGGCTTACAACTCACCTAGCACACTCATGCAGTAACCTCTCTTCCCAGTACACAGCAATTTCAGTTCTTTTCTCATCCAATCTTTGTTGCAACTTCCTCTCCTTATCTAAGATCTCTTGGTGATGCAACCTCTGCATATGCTGCAAATTTTCTTTTTCTAATTCTATCATCCTCTTCAATTTTTTAGTTTCGTTTACTAGACTTTCCTCGGCTTGTTTCATTTGACTGTGCTGTTCGACTAACTTTTGCATAGCGCGTTCTTGATCTTCAGTTTTACCTCGCAGTTCCTGCACCTCTATCTCATACGTCTGCAAGTTCTCCAACTGAAAAGCAATCGCTTCAGGATCAAGATTCTGAAATGTTATCACTGAATCATTAATACACAAAGTCCAAAACTATAAAAGAATTCCCAATGTTACGTTAGGGCTAGCCATTCCTTGCGTTCTAATTGTGTTAATCGATTTTTTTTATATCGAAGCAGCCGCGCAGGCAGAAGCCTAAATGCCGGAACACCGCGGCTGCTATAATGATCCCAAAGAAATTTTGTTAATACGATTTTTGGGAAAAGCTTCCTCTTGTAGATTGATCCACAATCTCGACACCCTCGGGACAAAGGAGCGGTCGTATCGGCCAGTTCTGGATGTACGAAGTTCGACCACGGTTAGGATGGGACGCCAAAGTCAGGCGGGTCTGACTGGCAGAGAGCTCTGAGGAGCAAAGCCCGTTGGTGAAGCGGTAGAAAAGAGCTAGATCGCCGACGGTCCGCCGGAAAGGGTTCCGAGACTGTCTGTTAGAGAAGAGTCATCGATCAGTCTGACCGACCTACTCTGGATAGCATCGAGCATGGATGATGTAATCGGGGCGGCAGCACCCCTAATGTGTGAGCAATACTCGAGGCTAAGCCCTATCTGGGCCGTGTATAGAGTGAAAATGTCATTCGGAGAAAAGTACTTCCCAGCCCTAAACAAATAGCCTAGCTCCCTCCTAGCAGCCGCAGCTACCGACGAGACGTGTTCGTTCCAGACCAGGTCCGCGGCGATCCGGACTCCGACCAGCCGAAATGAAGGGCTTTTTGGCAGAACTCGGCCGGCCATCGAAATTGGATGGGCGATAGGACGCTTTTTGTTTGTCAAAGTATAGTACTGTGTTTTGGAAGCATTGAACTGTACGAAATTGTTGCGTCCCCAAGCAGTGATAGCCTTCAGGTCTCTTGTCAGAGATGAAGACCGATCCCTGGGGAACACCCGCGATGACGTTGTGGGATGAAGAGGAGAACCCGTCAATTACAACGGATATCCCGCGGTCAAAGATAAAGTCAGTCAATCATCAGCAAAGCCCCTCCGGGAGGCCACAGGATGGAAGCCTGCCCAAGAGGGCAGCGTGCCACAGCTGACCGAACGTCCTCGTAACGCCAAGAGCAATGACACGAGCCCCACCACAAGACTGGACGAGTCCACTCCACAACTGCGCGACGTAAGCTAGGATGTCCCCCATGCACCTCTCCATCACCCTACTTATAACAGAAAGCAGAGCTACAGGCCTGCAGTTGTAAAGGTCGGTCTTAGGCCCATATCGTCAGTCGTCCCTACAATTGTAGGGCGCGTTTATGGCCTCCTTGATTGTCATAGTTTTCTACTACTCCGTGTCAGCGCTCTATTTTGAGGTTATGTAACAAACATCTATTTGCATCAAATTTTGCTTGCTTTTGAGTTATATCATGTTTTATCAGCCTGAAATTTCCTACAATTTAAAAGGAAAACATATCTTAACAATAGGAGAGCACTGACGCTGACACGGGACGAGTGTAATCCAGAAATTTTTGAAGGAGAGAAAAGAGTATGACAATCAAGGAGGCCATAAACGCGCCCTACAATTGTAGGGACGACTGACGATACGGGCCTTAGATAGAAAAAAGTAGGGCTCGTCACCAGCTGGGTCAGCCCTTGAGTAAGAGCGAACGCTTCGAGTGTACGACCTGCTACATCGGTCTTGTTTGAGCGCAACCAAAGCTCATTATGGGCATTGAAATCACCAAGAAGAACTACCTCTGAAGTGGGGTGATTGATGTTCAGGAAGTCGATCTGGACGGCGAGGTGTTATAGTAGGTCATTCCAGTTATGGCCTGAGGGAGAGCGATAGAGGCATCAAATGAATTTGGGTGATGTTTTGGAGTTGAGGCGAAGCCACAGAATGTCCTTTCGGTCTGATTCCAAAGAAACATCTCTGGAGCAGGAAAGACTGCTGCCGTCAAAAGCCACAACTCCCTCGTTCTTTCTCAGATTGGAGTGCACCTCGTAGTTTGGGAAGTTGAGATGGTTCATCGGTGCAGACTCAGAGATTTTTGTCTCCGCCAGGAAAAGCACGGCGGAACGATTGGATTGCAGGTATTGATTAACAGCATCAATGTTGCTGTTAATCCCGCAGATGTTCGAAAAACTAATTTTTTCTTCGATGTTCCCATGGATACTCTCATCTCAGGCCCCAACTGGTTACTAAGCTTTCAAAATTTCGTTATACGGTGACTTTGGGGCCTATATCTCCATAGGGAAGCCCTGTATGATATTTTTTGACATTATTATCATGTGTTCTATATGCTTCCAAGACATTATAGGACACCCTGAATAAACTGTATAGTATATCGATGTGAAGATGTAAAGTGTTATTTTATTGAGAGGACATTTATGGTAGGTCGACAAGCGATGAAGGTGATCACGGAAATGCCACAGGTCTCCGTCCTAGGGCCGTTGCTTTAGAACATGTTTAGCGGTAAGGCCCTTAGACTGCAGATGCTGCCGGAAATTCGATAGATGTTGACGCTCTAATGATGATAGTGAGTAACAAGGAGATGTTTTCGGCTCATGGAATCACGAGGATTACCTTATGTTTGGAAGATAATGGATTAAATTTAGCTCCTGTGAAGAGGGAAGTGGTCTGTCTCAAATTGTGGGAGATAGAAGCTAACCTCATTGGTTGTTAAGGTTAGGGATGCCAAAATACGATCACCCGGGCCAGGGAAGCTGGTCCTTTTTGAATCCTGCCAAGGGTCACACTGTCATCTTAGTCAAACTGTAAAGCGAGTATACCATGTCCTTCTAAGAAGAGGTAATCTGATCAGTCCTAAATATCGCTTCAACTACAAGTTTGATGTGGAGTATCCAACGACTGCGTAGTGGAACTCCGGAAGCCGGAAGGTCTCCAAAGAGACGGCTCGGTCAGCGAAGAGAGCTCTAGCGCTGGATTCTTTGGGCCTAGAACTAGGTTACCCCTGTCTCTCGGTGGATACACCACTATCTTCGAGGCGAACATCGTTGCGATTCTGGCTTGCGTTTTTTTTTTCATACTCCAACTACCACGAAGGCCTAATGCCTAAACACCCAAGGGATACCGTGGGGCTATAGGGGATACAGGGGAAAGGTGGGGACGTCACACGGACTCTGGCGAGGGAACACGTGTGCATACAACATGCACACATTCTGGCCACGCCTACGAGATCCGCCGTGTGGTACCATCCGGTATCGTTAGTGTGGGTACCAGGGCGCGCAGGTATAAAGGGCAACGATATGGAGGACGCTTTTCCGAAAGCACGATCAGAGAGCAAGCTCGTTGGTCCTAAACCAGCAATAGGAGTGCCACCTCAAAGAGTCAGGAAGTAGATGTAGATGTGGATTGCAAGAAAACACTCTCAGAAATGCAGAAACATCTCTAGACATCTCCGTCAGGAAAGGGAGCTCATTTGAGGGCCCAATGCTAAGGTTGGACGCTTTTGCCTATCCTTGGATAGAGTCAACCTAAGGTTGCTGGTGGGACTGTTGTACTGGCCATAACAAGGTTGAGGCGAAACCTGCAACTGATGCGGGTAGCTAAGCATCGCTTGTGTTGGCGCTGCGGGGTAAGGTAAGCTACCTCGGCGCATGTTCTCTGTTGCTGTGAGGCTCTGAACTGCTATAGGCAGACTATACTGGGGTCCATCACATTGTAACTCCAGAACATTAGAAGGGCGGCGTTTGAAGCTTCGGGAATCTAGGAGTGTATGAGAGTTTGCTTAAATGACCTAAGCGCCGTCCTCACGATTGCCGGTATGCCTCTAATTTCATAATTCATTCATACATTCGACCCGACAAAGATCTTAAAACGACTGAACACACAAAGCGCACCATTAATAAGGCAAACAAGGTCGTAGCATCTTGCATCCCTAATCCGGCTGATGTCATCTGGAGAAGGTTCTAGTTGTGAGAGAAGTGGGATCTTGACAGGTTTTTATCAAGAAGGAATACAGGCAGCTAATGCTCAGAAGCAAGAGAAAGGTAGCACTGTGCATGGTCTGCGTTTACTGATCAGTATCCTCATATGCATTTCTTTTGGTAGCTGGTCTCCTGCCGATTGATTTACTGGCTGCGGAAAAACGTGCGCTCTATAATTGGACGCAGAAGCCAAATACGGCGAAAGAGAGGCGCTTTTTGTCAGTTGGAACTGGTCATTGGGCAGAAGGCCAATTCCGGATATTAAGACAAGGCAGCGGTGCGAATGGATTACTATACTGCACAGTTTCTTACTGGATATGGTTGTTTTGACATCTACAGAGGGTAGAAAGGAGAGTACGCGAACTGAGTATACTACAGCGAAGAGGAGGATACTCCTCGAGTGCAGTAGATGGATTGACAGCCCGAGACAACTAGAATTGACGCTCGGCCTCAGGCCAACTGCTGACAGCTTTATCAGACATGTAAGCGAGCGTAAATGGAACGACATCCAGCCAATTGCGAGGAGGATCAGCAAAACAAGATAATAAAAACATACCAAGAAACTACTTTCTACTTACTGGCTTGCACATATACATAAGTATGTACGACGATGAGCATAGGATAACTAATAATACCTTTGGTATCAATATTTAACGAAACGCTATCCACCACTATGAAAAGCTGAAAGCATTAGTGGGATGCCTAGCGAACGACTGAAGTGAGTGTGTCGTATTCTAGAGAATGTGACACGTCGGGCAGAAAAGTCCGCAAGTATAGCGCTGTCAAGCTTTTCTGCCTGAGAGTAGCTATAAAAGCTTCCTGTCCAAGAGAAAAAAAATATCAGAAATCTATAAGTATCTCACCTTTTTTCTAATACCTTCCGCTTCGTTCATTTTCTTCTCCGCTTCCCTATATGCGCCTTGTAACATCTCCTGCACATCTTTGTCTTTATCGTCCAATTTCTTTCTACAAGTCTGTTGTACTTCGCGCAATTTCCATTCAAAATCATCTAACAGCTGTTGTTCTTTTACTATGTTTATCGTTCTCATTTTTTCGAAATCTACTTTCCACTTTTGCTCTATTTCCTGCGTAAAAACAAAACTCTAAAATAAAAATTCAATAAAAACACGTGCTTAAGCGGTGATAGTGATAGAACCTCCTAAGGAAACAATAGATTCTTAGAGAGGTTTATGACTATGGATGATGGATGAAGATGATATAGGCTTTTCGTTTTTTTTTTTCAAGCATGCTACCTGTTTCTGTTTGATTGCTTGTTCCAACGTTTCTGCAACTTTCTTTTTCTCTTCGTCTCGCTCCGCTATGAGTTCTTTATGTCGATCTTCTAATCTTGACTTTTCTTCCCTAAGATCACTTAATTGACATTCTAACGTCTCTATTTTCTCTCTGAGATTCGCTATTACATCTTCTAGTTCTTGTATTTTGTTTTTGGTTTCGTTCTCATAATTATTTAGTAACTCTGTGGAAGAATGTCAAGCTATGAGTTTATCAGAAATTTCGACACAGCAAATGATCAATAGAAAAATGTGTAGAATCGTAATAAGAATGGGAACAAATATAATAAAAATGACTAATGACACTTCATTCGAGTATATCGCTTACATTCTAATTTAGCCAATAGTTTTACCTGCTTTATCCGCTAATTCTTCCGTTAACTGGTTGTTCCTACTTTTGTAATTAGCTAGTTCCTCTTCTAAATGCCGTATCCTTTGTCTAATATTATCACATTCTTTATGGGCAGCGTTTAGTTCTGACTCAAGTCCTGTGTTTCAAAAATATGTAAAATAATTTAAGCGATCTATTTTCTCATAGATATTTTAGATACCTATATTATTTGACCCCAGCCATTTCTTGATATCAGAGCATTTGAGACACAAATATATAATTAATATTGAAACAGCAATCCCATATGGATAAACGGTTTAGCTTTGTACGGTATTTATCAATGAACGAGAAAACTTGCAGCATATTAAAATGACAAAGTATAATCCTGCATATGCAAATAGCTCACGTCATGACCTGCTATATGGAAAAGTCATAGTTTTTCAGACATTTAGTTTTTTTTTTTTTTTGTTTCAACTGGTCTGCCGTCGTGTAGTTTCTACAAATATCAACATTTCTGGACCGAGTTTACAGTATATCATTATAGTAATATTAGTAATCAACAACTTGAGAGACTTTGAAGTTGAGTCATTAATTTTCAGATAATGATTGTAGAAGGAAGATAAACCAAAATATGTGTGTAAAAATAAAAAAAAAATTACCTTGTTTTATAAAGTATCCTCCCGACAAGTATTTCAGTGCGGACCTGTATTTGATCGTGAGGTCTTGGAGCACCGGCATGCCGTCCCCATGTGAGGTCTTAAGTCACCTGATTCACGAGCCCGTTGTACTACATTAACAAATGCACGAGGGGTTGGTTGCACTCGATTGGGAAACCGATCCACATAAACATGTGCCACTTTTTATTTCGTTTGAGCCACGCAACAGACACCACTATTCACTCACGCGTTACCGACTGACACTGACTGTATACAACTGAATGACATAATTGTAAAAACATCGTTCCAAATTCTTTCGCTTTTTTGTTTCCGATGCGATGAACCGATAAGGCGGATTATATCCGTTGTCGACAAACACGAGCACATAATATTATTATTGAGACAGGGCGGTACTCAAACTTCCAAAGGGCTATAACTTTGTTACTTTAATTTTACCAGAAAGATGGTAAAGGAAAAAACATTTCTTTTGATCAGATCTACTCACTGTTAAAATAAATGACTCAACTTCGTATAAGAAAAATGTGCTCCGGCGGGATTCAAACCCGCATCTCCTCCGTGGGGCCAACCTACCCACTCCGCTGCTCCTTTCTCCTCTCAAGCTGCCTTTGTGTCGATCCTGAAGTCCGGTTGGCAACTGGTGCTGTAGACTGATTGGTTAGGTCGGCTTCATGGACTGTTCGTTCAATTGTAGGACGCCTTTATGGTCTCCTTGATTTGCACAGTATTTTCTTTCCTTCAGAAAGGCTGGGCATTTGTAGATTTCTACTGTTCAGCATCAGCGCACTCATATTGTGAGGCTATGTCTCAGCTTATATAAGAGATGATAATAAAAAGCATGTACAAATGGATATTTGTAAAATAACCTCAAAATAAAGCACTGACAAGGGACAGTGGTGAATTATGAGAATCAAGGAGGCCATAAATGCCTCCTACAATTGTAGGAACGACTGGCGATACGGGCTTAAATCACGTCGGCACCCATTTCTCCTTCCGAAAAATTGTATACAAATTAACAATAAGGTTTTTCATCTCAACCAGTGATATGTTTTACTTGAGATGGAGAGAATTCTACGTAAAAATTTATCTAAGGTCTAAAGGAAAGCTCGTATTTACTTTCGACTTTGACAGCCTGTAGCGTGAATGTATCACATATGGTCACTGTGCCAACTCACCCGAAAAGTTGATCTTCAGTAAATTTAAATCAACTCCAAATTAAAACGTTTGATAGCTGTAAAAGCATGTTGGTAATTTCCAATATTTAGGGCTATTCATAGATAACCATCAAAGATGGAATATACGCGTTCGAAATTTGATAAGAAAATTAAGATACGTTATTCCGAAAATCAAACATTTCAGCAGTTTTTTTAACGAAAATTATCTACACATGACATATCATGGCCTTCTTCAATCGTACCTCTCTTACGGAATCTTAGAATGGGGGAGTCATGAATAATTATTATAAAAAATTGACATTATGCAGAAATGGATTTCGACGACTATGTTGAACAAAAAGAAATGTTATCTCACAGAAAATCTTTACAGTGAATCTCAGCTTTCCAATTGCCGGCAGATATATTTTCATCATACAATAATATATTCAAAAAATCCAAAATCAGCCACAACCGTCAAACGTGATTCAAGAAATCATCTGCACTTACACCCAGACTAAATAAAACTGTCAGCCAAAAATCATTCTACTTTCTATGCTCCAAATTTTATGATGCTATTCTTGCGAAGTTGAAACATGTAAAATGTAAAAAAAAAACGTTTGAAAATTAAATTAAAGTTATGGATATTAAATTAACCAAGACTACAAATCCATAAGTCTATAGACATTAAAAATCGATATGTTATTTGATAAAAAATTTATACAAATTCATACATTTGACTAGTATACTTATAGGGAAGTTGTTGTATTTATATAATTGAAGTTCGGTTAAATTTCAAGCATAAGTGTCTTTATGGGTATTATATGTTAATTGGTCACTACCGTTATAATTTATTCGAAAATTTTGTAGTCAGACCAATAAACATTATTATTATCATTAATAACATTTTCTAAATGGTATTATTGTTATTAATACCCTGCTGTATTTTTTTAATTACAATTACTATACAATGTACGTAACTCGTAATGGCTCATAAGTGGCAGGTCTGATGATGGTTATTCCTCATTAAATATTGAACATATTATTATTATACATCGGACTTTTATCGTTTAATTTTCCCGTTACTACCACGATAAAACGTCTCTGATTAATACCAAAGAAATAACATTTACATCCCCCTTCCCCTACAACCCCAGGACCCCTAAACATTTTTTCCGTATATGACCCGAAGCTTCTGAAACGTCAAAAAAACGAAGTTTGAGCGATTTTTATATTTTTCGTGTTTTTGCCCCTAGCTTCGGCGCTACTGGGCCGATTTCCAAGAACACACATTTTGGCATAGTGGTAACCTTGTGTGAAAGTTTCGTCAAAATCCCACTAGTACTTTTCAAGTTACAGGCGATTATATGATTAGCGGATAGATAGACCGACGGAAATGAGTGACATGGTTTTTCGTGATGTACATGTCATATAACATACAAAAAAATAATATCTCAATTTCGAGATTTTTTCGCGATTTCAATATTTCCTCGCCAGTTAGCATTAGAAGTATAAACTAGTTATATTGTGACAACTTCGAAAACTATAAGACTTTAACAACGACGATTTGCCATATAAATACTCAGTTCATCATACGTGACCAATTTGCAGCAGTATTATCTCTCATTTTCTGAACATATCAAATTATTATATCAATATTAAAGTGGTAGGTACTTACTGTCCATGCCTGCAGACTTGGCGAACACGTCCCTTTGCAGTTCCTCCATTTGGAACTTGAGTTTGTTGGCTTCTGCATCGCGTATAGACAACTGTTTGGTGAGATCGTTTAGTTGGCTTTGGAACTTTGCCTCTTGGTTTATCAAGTTCTTCCTGCAATGAAAAACATCTGCATCAATACTTTCACAAACTTTTTTCATACTAGTACATTTTGCTCAAAAAGTTATCGCTATATGGCTTTAGTAATAACATCTTGTCAGTAATTATGTCTCATTTATTAGACAGAAGACAGTATGTTATTTTTCTAAATTGCTTGTCTAACACTATACATTTCAACCAAGGAGTTCCACAAGGAAGTGCCTTGAGGCCGATCCTTTTTTTGATTTACATCAATGATCTGCCAAACTGTAGCATAAATCTATGTAAATTATTTGCAGATGACACGACATCAATATCCTCCAATCACAATTTTGACCAGGTGTTATTTGATTCTCAACGGCATTTTGACAACATACAAAACTGGGATAGTGCCAACAGTTTGCCTCTTAGTATAGCGAAAACTCAATCTCGTTTACTCAGTACTTATCTACATAAAAGTAGTTAATAGAACCCGTGAAATTTCTTGGAGTGTTTGTTGATGTAAACTTGACTTTGGGATCACACATCACCACTTTATCAAAGAAGTTAGCTAAAATAACTTCGTAGTTTAAATACTTACGTAGCAAAATCGACTTTGATGACAGCCTATTATGCTTACATCCAATCTAAATTACAATTCTGCGTACTGATTTGGGGACATTTATTTCATGTATCGAAAGTGTTTGCTATTGAGAGACTATGCTTGAAAATAATAGCAAAGTTACATTTCAGACAGTGTTGCAAGATGGCATTTTTTTATCTAAGAATTTTAACTGTACCGTGCATATATATATATATATATATATATATACTGGAATGTCTCATCCATGTTAAAAATAATTATGACGATTACAGAACTTCAAAAGAGATTCACAAATATAACACAAGGTTTTGTCAAACACTGAACCCAACCATTTTTAAACAAACTGCGAAATCAGTGATGAAAGCTGTTTACAGCATAGATGAGTTTTTAAATAATGATTTTACAGAACTTGCCCATAATTGTTTTTCGACGTGTGTAAGCACTGCTGAGTACAAACGCGGATGGTAAATAGTAGATATTTATTTACTCCATTATATGAGAGAATAATATCGTAGAATGGGTATATAAATGTTCCAACCCACAGAAGGGCACTGCCTGTACATGGATCAGTTGTATGTTGGAATGTGTGAGATCCCAAAAACAAAAAAGTTAAGAGAAACTTGAAGAAAAATGTATATTAAACAGGTGTATATGAAAATGATTCATTTTAGGGAAGATTTGATATGAGTTCAATAATATATTTCCTTCCTATCGTATCCATTTTGATTCAAGTTCTTTTTAAAATTACATGTATTTCAAAATTGTTTTAAGTCTTTGGGTACGTGTTCATATAATTTTGGAGCCAAATTAGAAAAAAATGTCGCTTCATTATATCTCTATCACAGTTTATGCACGTAATTTATTCCAGTATCATGGCAAATCGTGATTTTGTCGCACTCACTGACAACTTTGTGATAATGGCTGATAGTATGTAAAAAATAAAGTTGCTTGATCTCAAATAATTTCTATAAACCATTTGTTGAATATAATGTTGGTTTTCGGAGATCAATTTTCTTCTATGTTGTTGAAATATACGGGTCAATAGGGCATGATATACAGGGTGTTCCTTAATATTTAAGGGTATGAATCTATATGAAAAATTAATGTCAGTTTGCCAAAAATGTTTCCTTACCAAAGTTGAAGTTTTAGGAAAAAAAATGAAAATTAATTAATACTTTCAGAACCGCTTCAGATATTTCACTGATATTTAGTACGTAGTGAAAGTTAATAAAGCTGCATATTTCTCAATGCAAAAATAATTTTTAGCCTTAACAGTGGCGTGCGTACAGGTATTGACTTCGATATTTAAAAAAAATGGTACGCCAATGGTTTTTTGCCAAATAAAAATTATTTTTGAATTCCCCGTTTAATTTAAAACAAATAATCTGTCCTGAATTGTTTTCCTTCGATGCGCCATTTTTGAGTAAAAAAATAAAAACCGTTCTATTGTCAACATAAACATAACATTAAAACCAACGAAATGATTACAAAAATTGTTGAAAATGGCCCCCTTCCGCCCTTCTTCTCATGGATATGCGCACTCGTTGACATATCCCTGGAGTGTTTTTTATTCTATCACAAGGTGCAACTAATCTTTCTCTTAATTCCTCTACAGTGTTAATGGGACTTGTGTACACTAGTGTCTTAAGATAGCTCCACAAAAAGAAATCTAAAATGCTGAGGTCTCGGGACCTTGGTGGCGCATCTCAAAGAAAAACAATTCAAGAGAGATCATATGTTTTAAATTGAACGGGAAATTCAAAAATAATTTTTATTTAGCAAAAAACCATTGGCGTACCTTTTTGTTCTTAAAAAATATCGAAGTCAATACCCGTACGCACGCCACTGTTAAAGCTAACAATTATTTTTGCATTGAAAAATATGCAACTTTATTAACTTTCACTACGTACTAAATATCAGTGAAATATCTGAAGCTGTTCTGAAAATATTAATTTCCATTTTTTTACTAAAACTTCAACACCCCAAATTTTTGTAAGGAAACATTTTTGAACCATAGTTTATAAAGCAAACTAAAATTAATTTTTCATGTAGATTCACACTCTTAAATATTCACATATCATTAAGGAACACCCTCTACAGTACGCATATAATTTTCTGTCGTCTAAATACTTTCTAAGTATTTGATATTGTCCACATTTTTTAAATTTGTATTATCTATTATTGTTAAAGGAAGTGTCACCGGCTAGTCGCAATTTCCTCCTTTGAATTGCATTGATTAGACACTGTACTTGTTTGGAAATAGAGTAGTACTTCCAGCCATGTTTTATATTGGTCTGTAATTAAGTGTTAATAGATCATGCATTTTATTCCACAAGAAGCAATTTTCAGTCTCAGAAGTATTAAATTGTACCATATTTGCAAGATACCTTTATTGCAGGTCTTCTCTAAAAAGATCGAGTTGTCACTCTGAATGCCGGCGTGTAAAGTGCAATCACTTGCGAAACTAAGCGTTACATTTAGTGTGTTGGAAAGGGAAAGTAGGCAACGAGGGGGATAATTATCGTTGATATAAGGACCTTGAGATATTATCTGGAATTCAATTGTCTATCAAAGTAGGAAGGAGTCAAAGCATACGATACCATCAGTCACTATTAATCTTTTGCCACAGCATGATAATCTTCAATAGATCGCTGTTTTATGGAAGAGTCGAATAAATCCTGCATCTGTGTTGCTTCAAGATAACCTAAATATAAATTTAAGTGGGAACATATGAATCAGAACGTCAAGTGTCGAGTAAAAATAGTCCGAAGTGTTTCAACTCTCAATTACGAAATTATGTAATTAGAATACAAGCTGTTTGACTCGCGTCAGCATGCCTTACATTCTTTGCATTTCTTCACAATGCTAATTAATTAGAAAGTATAAACTAGTATCAGCTAGTTTTCAAGTTTAATAGATGTGATTATACTCAACTTCATCGAATGTTTAGATAGAACATCGCACTGTTCTGGCCTAACTAGCTCCTTGACCATTTTTTCGTGGTGTATTATTCTCCACATTTGATTAAAAAATGTACTTCATTTAGTAGGTGGGTGAAAACCAAGTTTCAAAGATCTATGCTATCTAATCAACTGCCAGTAATGTTGGAGTTTCCGTATTATCGGCTGTCACTCCAATAAACTGTATAAGAAAACTATGTCTTTATTGGAAAACTTTTTAATCAAAGTATAGTCACTTGCTTTAAGCGTCCTTCAAATCAGTGGAAAATAACAAAAATCGCGATTTTTCAATATTTAATTGGAAATTGTCTGTAGGATTTCCTTAGTCAATATATCGACATTTTATTTCATAGAAATTAGTTTTCGATCGATGGTCAGGTTAGTGACGGTCGAGCTTGACACAGATCTTAGACTATAGATAATATTATCTTTTCATTCATTCACTATGAACGTTTAACCAAGGTTTTCTGAATATTTTGATTTGATGAATGAAAGCCAAGTAATACGTGGAAGTGGTTTCCCCAAAATAAAAAATTGCGCAACGTTATTTTTTTTTTGTACGTGAAAATATTTTTCATACGAAAAATAGATCTACCAGCTACGTTTTCGGAATTTACGCAAATACACCTAATTATAATTTTCACGGTCATTTTGAAAGTATCTAAAATAAGATGACAAGGGTATAAATACCAATAGGATTTACGGATGAATAATTTTGTGATCGACACCTAGGCAGCTTTACCGTCTGATGGTACAAGGAGTTACTATAAAATGTTACCCAGAAATTCGCCTCAATTTCTGATAGGTATTACAGGAAATTGAAGCAAATTGATTCTTTCAGCGACTGATAGCATAATAAAAACTATTTCACATGGCTAGTACATCTCTTTTTTTTTACTTTTTTGGGTACTATTCATTCCGCATTCGCGCCAAGTTAAAACAAGCGAAGCGTGAGGGTTTAAAGATCGTATCTGGTATTTGGTTCCAAGAGGTGTAAATGAAATTCAGATAGATGAATAAAAACACAATGAAAATGTTTATAATTATACATTGCTTAATTGCAGTATATGCTACCAGCAGGAGCTACTTAAATTACATCCGTAATGGAATATATTTTGCCATATGCGTTTTCGTTTCTTCTAATGTTTTCAAAAATATATCTTAGTCGTTTTGTTTGACAGCCTGTTGGCAACAGTTAAAAGAGATAAACATGTTTCTACCGTTCCAAGTGCAACGTCCTAAATAAGAATATTCAACGCTTGACATGAACTTGAACTTCTTTTAATGACCTCAATAATAAGACTCTGGAACATTAGCGTTTTAGATATAATGAACACCCTGTATACTCGATATATACTTTTGCGTGAAGTGAAACATCAACTTTTGTTGTGAAGGTACAAATGGGTCCCGAGACTGTTAGACAAGAGTCATCGATCAGTCGGCCAGACCTCCTCTTATGCTTACAATTATATGCATGTGAACCACCGTCTTTAGATAGTTGCCATTTCCAATCTTAGGAATATTTTTGCTAAGGGCTTTACGGCAATATTGCTTGGCATCATGGCTGTGGTAAGCTCAAAACGCTGAACGGAGTTGTTCTCACTTTGGGGCAGCAACAGCAAGAGTGACAGCACATGTCCAAAATTGAGTTTGCGTTATGCTCTGAAAAAGGCTGATGTGGCAAAAATTGTCATTATGTGCTATAACTTCAGCTAATCCATTGCTTATACCTACTAATATATAAATAATAATTTGTATTTCATGCTCTGATTGTATGTACAGGTTCTGAGTATTTAACGTTTCCAATGATATTGAACCGTATTCGATTGCACTAATGATCTAGTTCAGTGTTTCTTATTTAAAAATCCAGCATACATTTAGAACATCGTTTCATTTCAAAGTAAAATAATATAAAACTCTTTGTGCAGCTTATATTTTTTTCGCCTATAAAGTCCTGCGCTATTCCAGAATCAGAACTTTGAATGCGCCTCGCTGCGCTATCGCTTTTTCGAAACTCTATATATATACAGGGTGGCCCATCCATGTGTGTACGGAATATTACTCATAAACAAATATATTTTGGGTAAATCTATTTATGGCATGTTGTACATGACATTTCTAAAATATTGGCCGTGTCCCAATTTCGACCTACATATCAAAGTTGTGACTTTTCAAATAGAATGCCTCAAATTTTATTGCACATTTGGGTAAACCAATTCAAAAGATGAAAATTTATATGACATACTATGGGGTTTTGGTAATTAGCTACTGAGATGTAAGGTATTTTGTGCAGAAAAACCGTCCACTTCGGCAACCCCTGAATCCGCTATTTTGAAATTTCGAGAGCTGAATTTTGTATAAAAAAAAACTTACACATCTCAGCTTTTACCTTATTTGTTACTTTTTTGAATTTTCATGTTTGCTCGTACAGGGTGGTCAAAAACGCAAATTGTAGTCTTTCTCAAGATTTTCAAATAATAATAATAATAATAATGTGGCTTTATTCAACTTTGCATACATAAAATAAAACAAAAGAATGATATCTTGAAAACCGCAAAAGTGCAAAATTGAAAAGGTGGAGTGTTACCCTAGGGATATTTTTCAACTCAACCTCAAATAAAAAATTGTATCTGTATCATGAACATACACATATTATACAATAATAGAGATAAACATAAGTATTAATGATAGTCATAATAACTGTTCTGTAACCTAGTGCCTAAGAGAAAGGAACTAATCATAAAAAAAAAGAAAAAAAAATGTAGTGAGTTTCAACTCATCCATTTAACTACCATAACTTTTTCAATGAAACGTAGGATTAAAAATGACACATTCTTTTGAAATTACGTCTAATTTTTAGACACATCATTTTATTTGAAAACTTGAGATGACGTAGCTTCATCATTGTTTAAATATTTCCTATCAGAAAAACATATTTACAACTTTTTCGTTATTTTTATGAACAGCTAAATAATAGCTTGTTTTTAAAAATATGTTCCTTTATTTATTATCATACTCGTATAACTTCGTATTTTTGTATTCTGTCGAAATTTATTTTTCGCACTTTGTAGCACTGAAAAAGACACCTTGAGCAATATATCCCAAAAGCCGAAGATCAAGACAAGACGTATAGGCTAGACGGAATAGTCAGGGCCGTCTTTTGGGTGGAGCGGCCACTTCAGGCCTCGCTCTAACAAATGAGTAAAACGTTTTGGTTGAATGAAAATAATGTAATAATGTACAAATATACGTGCCTAAAATATCTTTATGATTACTCTCACAATATGTTAAATTATTGATTAATTACAACACCCACGAACGAGACAATCGTGACCAAATGAATGCAAAACATCGCTTGATAGTGGCGGCTGGGTCCGAGGCGACAGCTCCCCAAGCTCCGCGCATGTCAATGGGTGACACATGCTTGCTGGCGCGCTGACTTGGAGTTGCATCGCAGTAACTTCAAAAACTAGTTGGCCACATTGGTAGCAAGAGAACTTAGTGAAACTCTGGGTGTAGAGCCAAAGTTCAAAGAAGTCAGACCGATAAAGAAAAGAAGAATTTTTTTATGTCAGAATCTGCCGAGCGAAAGCTTAAACCATATTTAAGATTTTCACTTAAGAATACCAAACAAATAATAGCATGTGCAAATAATATGAATATTTTGTAATAATATGTGCTCATTTGTGATTGATTATTCAGTACAAAAAAAAAGATTTCTTATACGAATTTATTTAATTCCTAGCAGACTTAAATTTGATTTTAATTTTCCTAATAATTCATTGCTCAAAAAATTAAAGTGGAAGTCATAAATCATATTTCTTTCTTATCTCAATAATTGACATACACAGGTTGAAATATTGTATACTTGTATCAAAAATAAAAATAGACTCAACCCTGGCAAATGAAAAAAAATTACGTACATAATTGGCGTGCTTTAAGACGAAATGACTTCATCAAAAATGCACACTTTTTGCACGAGAATTTTGAGAATGTTTCGGAGTAGACTTTCTTTAAAAAAGGCCTAGCAAAAATGTTTTGCTCCAGGCCTCGCATCTGCTAAGGACGGCTCTCCCAACTAGCAAGGTAGTGCTGTGAGGTAGAACCGTTCAGCCATAAAAGCTCTCTATTGTTGTTGCCTGGACACCAAAATGCTGGCTTAGTGTTGTGTGGAATGCAAATTTGCTTTCTGCAACATATTTGCTCTAAAATGAGGTGTTTAAAATATTCTTATAGCATAGTTACAACACCTTATAGGGCAAATTTTTAACTGTTGCGTAAACGTTTATACAACTATTTTGTACGGCATATTTGCAGGTTAGTCAAAATGGTTGTGTTGTGGCATCCATGGTAACGTTTATAAAACAAACCCAAGCCTTGTTGTTTTGCTGTGCAAATTTAGTACTTTAGCCAACAAATTGCTCCCAACGGAAGCACTTATACAACTGTTAAAGGCTGTACATATGCTAAATATGTTGGTATACAACTTCACCATAACCTAACTTTCTGCTGTCATATTTTTGTTAAAATGCCATAACCAATGTTTTAAGACAAACAACGCATGCATATTGGTTAAGAAGGTTTTATCAACTGTTCAAACAGAAGATATAGATCTGGTACAAATTCTAGGTAAATCATTCGACTCTGACGGTATTTCATTTCTGACATTTGTCAAATTGTTGTATAACACCTGCAGACAACACCAAAGTATTCTGATAAACTAAAGACAACATGGACGATGCCATGATTATACGTATACACAATCACCCGCCATATTGGGAAAACATTTATTCCTCTATTTGATATTAAATAATTATGTTTCAGTTCGAAATTACAGATATAAAGTGATAAACATTAGTGTAATTGTGTCTAAATATAGGATTTGTGGAAGATTTAACGCAGATAAGTTCAGTTTTCCATCTTAAAAATCTAGACATACTTTTGATCATTATCAAAATATGAATCAAATACGAACCCCGTAGAAATTGCGTAACTACTTTGCACGATAATCACAATAAAATTTGCTGGGCAAGTAATTCAATAGCCCTATATCACAGTGTAGAAGTTTATCATATATCTGTGTATGAAATTCACAATGGCCGATATGTAAGTAAACAAGATGACTGTAATGTGTTAGTTATATATTCTTCACTTCGTCTATACAATACATACGAAATAGTTTGGTTGCAATAAAGTAGAATCACGTAACATGATAGTTGTATAGTTGACAAAAACTATATCTTGCAGTGACGCAAATGTCCTATAGCGGCTGCAAGAGGCTTAAACTTTTATTGTATAACTGTTACCTGCAGCCCTTATACAACCTCTTAAATGACTGAAGTGTCCTATTAGGTGTGCCCATTCCGCTTGTATAGATGTTCTAAGAGGGTTTTGCCAATGTTCTTACAGTATACAATGCTGTGTAAGGAATACTGTATAATCATTCTTGCAACTCTAATAGGAGTGATAATTGTTAGTTGGGCTGTAATACTAATTATACGTACTTCTCCTCTTTCCCAAGTTCCCCGTTCTCCAAGATCTTTCCTAGCTTGTCACCTTCCGGAGGCTGCTTGTCCTCGACCTTCTGTATTCCAGATATCCGGTACTGCCTCTTCACCTCCAGGACCGGACTGGCCGGAGGCGTCGCGTTACTTTCTCTCCTCTCCCCCGTTACGATCACTCGCGGCGATATGGCCACCGTGCCGTGCCCGCAGGGCTTCACTCCCGAGGAGCCTCGCCGCTCCACAGGCTTCGGGGACGGCGAATGAGAAGAATAGGACCCGTCAAACATGGTCGTACTCGCGATCAGGTCGGGGTTGTTCGAGGTATTCGACACTTCGTTTTTTTCGTTCGTCACAGCACTGCCACACTCGTTTGCATTTTTTCGAGACTGCTGCGAATAGTTTGGCACCGATTCCACGCTCGTCGCTGCCGTGGACTCGGAATTATTTTTACTTGGCACGTTGTTTGTCGGAGATACGGGATCTTTCTTTTTTTCGCTGGCATCTTTCTTAGACTTTTTGAAAAAGCTGAACATCTCAATGGATGCCGGCACGGCACTGGCGATGGCTCCCAATGAAGTGCTCTGGGAGGTAAGCTGAATGCTGTCACGCTATGACGCGCTTGTGAAATTGAGATAGCGCGGTTTATAATTAGAGTTACAAATTTCAACTATAATCCAGTGTCACCACCCACTTGTGTTAGTTGGGAAATAGGTTACTGCTTTCCAAATGATGTGAGGATATAACCTAGAGCCTATAATAGTGACTGGAGTAAGAGAAAGTTGTGAGTGGTCATACTGTGGCTATGGTCACATTGTGGCCATTGACGCTATGTTAAGCGTACGGTGTAAATAGGCGCGTTTACACGTACGGTTTTTCCAGCAACTTTCCTCAATTATCTCAAGCCCAAATATCGTGTCAATCACAGAATAGGTAAACCAGAAGCTACACGCAGGCAAACTCCTAGTGCAATTTTCAGACATAGAAAATGTAATTTGATTTAAACGTCCAGGTGTTTCAATTTTTACACCAAGAGAAGGAATAGTTCGCGCCGACAGATAAGCGATTAACTGCGGCAGGTCATACGCACCGCCATTTACAGCGTCAGTCGGCATGTACTCCGTACAGGTTCGGACTTATCGTTTCTTTCCAACCATGCGTTTCCAATTGTCTCAAACAGTCACTTATACAGGGTGCGGCTGAGAGGATGGACGGTTTTAAAAAAATCATAAATTAGTCAATTTTTACTCGAAAACAAATTTATTGATGGAATCAGGTTCACAAGGAAATAGCATTTGAGACAGTCAAGTGTGGAAAATCACATCAGGCATGTGGTGGCCGAAATCGCTGATGCAGTGCTGGAGGCGTTCTTGGAAGTTCGCGTAGACTCTCTCCAACATCGCTCTCTCAACTTGGGCGATTTCCACGCGAATTTCGCACTTCAACTCGTCCAGAGTTCGGGGCTTGTTCGCGTATACTCTAGCCTTGAGGTGTCCCCATAAGAAAAAATCGCATATGGATAAATCTGGGGACCGAGGAGGGCAATGAACATCGCCAAACCTGGAAATAAGGCGACCAGGGAAGAGAGGGCGAATAACGTCCATGGATGCTCGGGCTGTGTGGGCGGTCGCCCCATCCTGCTGGATCCACACACGTCGGATTGGAACACGTCGCAGTCGTAATTCAGGGAGAAAGAAGTTGGTGATCATGTCCACGTAGCGCTCTGAGTTCACGGTAACATCACGACCATTACCGTCTTCGAAGAAGTAAGGGCCAATGATGCAACTGTTGCGGATTTTCATTAGCCCAATAACTACAATTCTGCTGGTTAACCATGCTGTTTAGGTGAAAGTGGGCTTCATCACTCATAAACAAAATGAGGTTCTCATTTTGATCGATTAGTGCTTCCATCTCACGTTCAAAGTTCATTCGTTGTGCATAATCTCCGGGCTGTAACTGTTGCAGAATGGCCAATTTGTAGTGGTGGAAGCGGACATCCATATGCAAAATTCGCCTTACCGAACGATCACTAAGGCGAAGTGCAGCAGCATGTTTCCGGGCAGATCGAGTCGGACTGCGAAGAAAGACCTGTCGAACGCGTTCAACATTTTCAGGAGTTTGAACTGTTCCTGGCGCTCCTCTTGGTCTTCTGTTGATCAGTTCACCACGCCTGCGAAGTGATTCAAACCTACGAAGGATGGTGTTTCGAAGGGAACAGCTCTATTCCGATGAATGTTGAAGTGGCGACGAAACTCACGCTGTACGACGATGACTGACTCATTATTTCGGACGAAACAATCATAAGGCGAGAATACACATGCTTGTTACACGCACAGAAGCATGCCAGTTACTGGATTGTGCGTGCTACTTGCATGTGTGACTTTCTTTGCCAGCAAGAAAGCACGCTAGAAGATAGCACGCCAGTAGATCGCAAGACGTTTGATTTTTGTGCGCCAGTAGCAGGATTTCGTCGAGGGAATGAAGAGGAGGAAACATGCGAGTCATGTTCAAAGGTGTGTGAACGACATCGTTACCAGAAACTCGCATGTGAAAAATGGCTTCTTGAACTATAGAACTATTTGTTTAGTTCCGGGCAAAATGGCTCGTTGGGGAGACGAAAAGACTTTATTGTTTGTTATGCAGTATAGGGAGTATCCGTGTTTATGGAATACATGATCTCCATTGTATAAACATAAAATCGCTAGAGACAATGCTTACAAGTCTTTATTGAAGCAAATGACTGATAACAATTTAACATTGAAATTTATGAAAAATAAGATAAAAAACCTAAGAACAACCTACCACCAAGGGTTAAAGAAGATAAAGGAAAGTTTTCACAGACTGGCATATCCAAAACTAGCATGTGTATATTGGGATGTCGTAGGACAAGTAGTTAGCATACAAGTTACTGGCCACTGGCATGCTATTTTACTGGCATGTGTATTCTCGCCTATAGGCGAAAACGCGGTGCTCCACCGTCCAAGGCTCCATAACGACAACTGGTAAAATAATGCTAGGATCTCACGAGTCAAACGGCACCCTCCCCACCTCTCTCGTAGACGGAGGCGGAGAGTACTACCCATCCCAAAAACGTCCGTCCTCTCTGCCGCACCCTGTATTAGACCAAATAAGGGCTAATCGCAGCACCATCATATCAATAATTTGTATGGTTAACTGTATGTGATAGTCAGGTCTTACTTTTTGGCAATAAGCAAATAATTTAGTAAAACGGTCAATTCGCTACCGGTGGAATGTAGGTAGATATTCCATCATTTTTGACAACAAAATGCGACTCTTCACACTTGTGCACGTAACATTTTCCAATGTTGCACAGTTGACAGGCTATAAATAACTATTTAAAAAAGTGGCGGCAACATCAGTAATATTTTCGCTGTACGTAGGACATGTCTCCATCATCTTCACTTCCCACGCTTACTGGCGAGGAAGTATTAATTGTAGTCGCGAAAAATTTGGAAAAGGGGATATTTTGTTTTTTGGATGTTACATCACGAAACACCATGTCACTCGTTGCGTCGCTCTGTCTGTTGGTCTGTCTGTCCGCCAATCCTTGTCCCGTCTAAAACTCAACCGGTATGATTTTGTTTAAATTTTTACACAAGGTTACTGATATGCCAAGGACGATAAAACTTTGTTGTTTTTGAAAATTGGTCCAGTAGCGGCAGAGAAAAAAATTGCTCAAACTTTGTATTTGACATTTCAGAGAATCCTGACCAGTTTTGGAAGATTCTTTAGGAATAAAAGATTTAGGGATAGTAATTGTGAAATATGTATAATAATCAATTATATTGACCCGCAGATTTGCCCTTAAGATGATAGAAACATGTTTTCGACAAGCGCCCCTGCGTTGCCGTGGCCAACGTGCCGGAGTTCGTATATGACCTGCATCTCTGGCGCTTTGTGGGCGCTCTGCCGACTGTGACCTATCATGCTTTTAGATATTGGGGAGAGGTGACGCAACGTTGCCAGATGAAATGATGCTAGGAGTAGGACAGGAAAATAATGTTATGGGCTAATTGTACGGACCTGTTTGACGAACTTAATCTGTGTAAAGACAGCCAACCTCAGATGGCGGTTTCGTGCTTTTTGGCAACTGATCAGCACGGTCTAGGCTTAGTCTCTCGGATAACGAACGAAAGCATAGCAACTATCCTCTATCCAGGATTTAAGGTATATGATGCTGTCTTATTTTGATAAGGGCTAACTTGTTATGAACATAATCCTTTATGAACTGATGTCGCCGTTGCTTGGGAAGTGTAGAGTCAACCTACTTGACGGTCGTTTTTTTGTTCGAAGGATCCTTTTCTGTGAGTAATACTGCGCTAAAAAGCTGAGCGGCTCATTGCTCGCTAGCATAGCACATGGAACCAATGTGGACAAAGCTCATGGCCAACTTTGGTAAAGGAATATCTGACTAGACATCTTTTAGGCATGGATTACCAAACTCTTCCCAATACTCCAGGATTATTTTCTTTGGAATTAGTCCAACATGGCTGCACATGCTTGAGAAGGACCTGACTCAATGTCTTCTCGATCACCTGGCTTAAGTCCACTGGAAAATTGGGAATTACTGAATGCGACCCTAGTGTATTTGAGAGTATTCGATGTCTATGAGAAGATTACATCTTTGTATTCTACCTCGAGGTAGTAGCTTAACTTGTTTTTGAAGATCATGCACCTTCATATGCAATTTTTGCAAATAAGGACAGTCGAAAGTTTTCTCGTTCTGTACTTTCAGGCAAAGCGATTTTGCAACCATCGTTAATTGAAAATAAAAAATAAGCATCACACATTGAATGTTTGCCTAATATTTTGGAAATATCCTGTATAAATAGATACTTAATAACCATAAAAGTATAGAAAATTTTGCATGAAACAGTGTCTATTTACGACAGTGTCAAATGGTGAACAATATTTCACGGAGATAAGTTTCAGTCCCTTTCTTTGATGTGCTTCAGTTAACTTTGTGCGAAGAAAATATCAAGTCAACAGATTCCTAAGCATTGCTTAGGCAACGTAGAACATCTAATATACAGGGTGGCCAAGATAATATCCTATGCCATGGTCATCTGAATACGTGTGTGTAGCTTAAATTAGAAAAAAGTTGCGTTATTTTTCTACTTTCATAGCTTAATGAGCTTAATGAGATATTTTGGAAAAACTAAAATTTGGACAAATGGTTTTTATTTTCTGACTTCATGACGGGGTTTTTGAATTTCGTTTCCTGGCGGTTTATTGTTCATCAACAACTTTCCTTGTTTAAGTGGTCCGGAAAAAGCACATCCTATATCTAATAGGATTTTTTATACGAATTTAACGATGCATGACAAGTTACATTTATTTTCCTGGTTATAAGGAAAAATGCGTTTTTTTAGACTTTGTATTCAAGTAGGCGTTGCAAACAAACACTTGACTTGACGTAAATACCTGTCATCGAGTATTGTTATTGTTGTGTATTGTTAATATTGCTTTATTATGGTCAAAGATGCCAGACGGTCATTTTAGCAATGAAGAAAGGTTCGACGTGCTACATTTTGTGCTACAAAAATACAAAAAAGCACGTTTTTCTTTATAACATTAAAAAATGTAACATGTGAAACATCGTTGATTTCGTAGAAAAAAATGCTATCACATACAGAGTGTCCATTTTTGTCGGACCGTATGTTATAAAGAAATAAAGTCGACGATGGTTTCCAAAAACTAGACGCCGGGCAAAATTCTTAAAACGACATCAAGTAGTGCCTAAAAAGTCCCATTAGTTTTTTGATATTTCTTAAAATAGAGTCAGAAAAAATAAAAACGGTTTAGCTAAATTTTAGTTTTCCCAAATACCTGAGTAAGGCATGAAATGTTCATAAGTTTGTCAATGGCATGTAAATACGCCCCAAAGGTTGCAGATCTTTTTTATTCAAGCTATATCTGCGACAGGTATTGAGATACCCATATGTATTTAGAAAAAATCATAGTACTGTGACTGCATTAGTTGACATTTGTGATGACTACTTGAGAGCTATAGATAATTCCTGCGTAACTACAACTGTTCTGCTGGATTTAAGAAAGGCATTTGACTGTTTAAACCACAAAATGCTATTGGCTAAGCTGCACTTTCTTGGTTTTTCTGAGAATTCGATTACATGGTTTGACAATTACCTATCAGATCGACTTCAACAAGTTAAGATAGGCAGTGACTATTCTGACAATCGGGTCATTGTAAAGGGGGTGCCGCAAGGTTCCATTTTAGGACCAATCTTATTTACTTTATACGTGTCGGACTTGGATCGGTTGGTCAAACATTGCGCTTTACATTCTTATGCTGATGATACCCAGCTTTATCTATCCTACGATCCCTCCTCATGTGTTGATGCTAATGAAAAACTAGCAGTAGATTTACGCGGCGTTTGTGATTGGTTTAGATACCACGGGTTACACATAAACTGTAGCAAATCGGCCATAATTACCTTCCGCTCTAAGAAGAACGAGTTCAGTGGAGATGCTATAAAGCTATGCCTCAATAGTGAAGAGCTCACACACAAAATATCGGTATTAAACTTAGGAATAATCTTTGATGAGCACTTAACTTTTCATGATCATATTTCTAAGATTGTACAGAGCTCTTTTGCTAAACTAAAAAGCATCTACAGCTTTAAGCACGTGTTGGCTCAAGATACTAAAATTAAGCTTTGCGATTCACTCATTTTAAGTAAGTTAGAATATGGCAGTTCCGTGTTGGTTCACATTTTATGTTTGGTTCATAGCATTTTATTGACCAAATACCCTATATACTTAAATAATAAGTTATCCTTGAGAAGTCAGCATCATGCAGCCAACCTCCGTTTCGTTGGTTACACCCTTAACACGCCCCATCATAGAACCACCCTATTTACTAAGAGTTTCTCTTTTGTTGCACCCAATTGCTATAATATGCTCCCTGTCAGCTTTAAAGTTTCATCTGTTCCACTTTTTAGGTCAAAAGTAAAAAAATATGTTTTAAAAATATGTCATAATACCTTATATTATTTAGTTTTTAACTTATGTAATGGTGTAACTGTTAACTGTGAATATATATAATTTAAATATATATAATTTAAAAAAATGCCTATTCTTGGCATAATAGATTTTTCATTATTGTTACTCAACAATGTTTATGTCTCCCAGATTTTGTATTATAATTTTGTTTGGCCCTGGTTGGTATGAAAAACAGCTTTTAGCTGACACCCGCCAGGTTAAATAAAGGCTACTAATATTATTATTATTATTATTATTGTTATCTTAGACACCCTGAATACGTTTATATTAAGATTCTTGCTATGCAATACGAGCCCCTTCCCACTTCAGTTGGCCCAACTATTGAAATCTTATTTTTTTCTTATCAAACACAAATAATAAAAATGTAGCAGGGTGTTATAGGTTTAAAATATTAGCAATGAATATTTTTATAATATATAGTAGAAAACACCAACTTTATCACTCCCTAATCAGCATAAAAATAACACATGTTGCAATTACAGCATATCAACCTATTTTCATTTCAATACAAAATAAGTCCACTATAACGCATAGGTGGCTGTGAAAAATAAAAGCCATGACAATTGTTTTTATTAATCACAGCTGTCAGAATACGTTTAAAATAGTTTTGGCTAATTAAGGTTTTCAAAATGGGTAGAGGAAAGGTTATTATTGAGAAAATTCGGCTATATAATTAAATTTTTTAATTCTGGGAAATCAAACTCAGAAATTGCAACTCTGTTAGACTTATCGCGGTACAGTGTGAGAAATATTGTTAGAAGATATAACGTAACTGGTTCAGTTAATATTAAGCCACGATATGTGAAAAAAAGTAATATCACAAATGCCGACCGAAGAGCATTAAGAAGAATAATCGTGAAAAACAGGCGTGCCAATTATTTACAAATAAGTGCTCTGTGGAGTGACGCTGTTGGAAGGAGAATTTCGAGGTCCACAACTCATAGAGAGGCCCACAAACTGGGATTTAGCACTTGCAAGGTAAGTTTTCTTATAAAAAAGATTAGTAAAAACCCGAAAGTTGCACAACTTGTTTATAGGCCAAAGAAAAGCCACTATTAACTCCACTGCAAAAAAAATCGGCTTAGATGGGCTAAAGAATATAGACAATGGACACCTCAACAATGGTGTGCAATACAATGGAGTGATGAGGCCCGATTTAAAGTTTGTGTTGGTGAGTAGAGTTATTCGCAAAAAAATGAAGCATTCCATGTTGACTGTCTGAAGAGAAAAGCGAAATTTCCAGCATCCATTATGGTCTGGGGCAGTATGTCATCAAAAGGAGTAGGAAAACTTCATTTTATTGATGGAAATGTGGATACAAACAAATATTTGGCAATTTTAGAAGAATCGTTTTTACCAGCGATGGAAGAATGTTTGACATCCGGCAAAGGTTTTGTGTTTCAGCAAGATGATGCAACGTGCCATACCTCAAAAAAGGCAAAAAAATGGGTGGAAGAAAATAATGTACTACTTTTGAAATGGGTTTCTAGCAGTCCAGATCTGTCACCTATTGAAACTTTGTGGCACGAGATGAAAAAGGTTCTACGACAACATCCTGCTCGTACAATCACCGAACTGAGACAAAAGATTCAAGAAATATGGGATTGTTTTACACCAAATTTTTGCCAAAACTTGGTTAACACTATGCCCCAAAGAATTTCAGTCGTAATAAAAAATAAAGGTGATGTTACCCAATGGTAATCTTTCAATTGTTGCTTTGTTAACTTCGCGCATTTATTCGCACATTGTTTATTTGTTCAGATGTTCTATTAGTTATAGGTCTAAGTGAATTCAAATATGTATTTTTTACGACTAGAGTAGATCTAAAACGTTTTTGAGAAAATAAATTGTTTTAGAAGTAAATAGTTTCGTCAAGTTTAGTTTATAAATGCATATTTTGGTACAAATCTTGAAGTGGGCCAACTGAAGTGGGAAGGGGCTCGTATTTAATATCGCAGTGGTATAGACATTATAAGAGGTTGAATGACTATCTCTGAAATTAACGATGTTTCAATGACCCAATAAATATTTCGTCCACTTTGCAAGAGTATAAACTCACTCACAGGTCCACACGCACTATTAAAATAACTATGTATTCGGTTGGCGCACGATCACAGAACAACAACTAAAAGAACCACCGTCAGAGCATTGCAGATACGCGACGCGAACGTGGATGGTCTCGCGGTTTCGAGTCGTCTAAAAATATACCGAAAATGCACTTTTTCGACCTTCTTTAAACGCTTCCGATGCCACAGGTTCTATTTTCGACGGAAGTATCCTGGATGTCCAAGATACGTCTTTGCTCTTTGCTTCCACAACGAATACAAAAAAATAAGGAGTGCGTTGAATGGTTGCACGCGAGTGGGGGAAGCGAATTTCAAAATAGAAATATAGAGAAAACTGGAAATAGATTGCGGTGACAATGACTGCTAATGGCCTTCACACTTTCGAGCGAATTAATATCTAAACGCGGTTTTTAGTTTAGTCTAAGTTATTTTTTGTATCTATTCTCAGACACAAAGCTTACTGAGATAAAGTTGTGTCATACCCACCTGACTTCAGTATATGACACACCGAAAAATTAGCACACGCAAGCGATTTTTTTGTTAGTTTTTTTCCAGGAATCAGCTGCCACTGAAACAATTTTCAAAACCCACCTTTTCATTCTTGGTGCATTAGTACGTAACGTAAGTATTTTGATGATTTCTTTGGTGCTACTGGGTCGGTTATCATTTTTTTTTTCAGCCGAGACACAGCAGTTGTTCCCAAAGGACAATTTTAAGTATAAGCGTTTTTATGTCTCTGGGGAACGAACGTAATCATTGTTTATGGTTAGAACTAGTCAAAAATACTTCTTGGAAACCCGAAAAGTACGAAGAAATCTAAAAGTACACACCAATCACTCCCTATCGAATAACAAAGACTTCTGTCAATTCTGCATAGAAATTCTGATAGTTCGAAGATAAATAACCAATAATTTTACAATAACTAACATTAAGCGAAGTTATCGAACATACAAAATATATATATATATATATATATATATATATATAAGAGAAGAGAAAATGATCATGCGGAGAAAGGTATATAACAAAAAAAAGTGGAAAATAATGGGAAAATTCCGCAAAAAAAAGGAAAGTGAATTCGATCAGAAGATAGGATAGGTAACCCGAGCTATGATACGTATTTTTGCTTGTTGGCTTCATCAGGCCCGAAATGAATGCACATAATATGCAACCACAATAGTAGATACACATGCCCATACACACGGATACGGGTGTCACCTGAGGTAACGAAGACGGCGAGGGAAAAAATGACACACGATGTCCCCAACCTACACCTTACATTCCCTACATTTCCAAAATTAATAACTCCTCTCGTTCAAAAAACTAATTCAACGAGATGACCAAATGATAAGCTGTTATTGTCAAAACGTCGGTGGACTTCGTACAAAAATTGATACTCTTAAGGAGGCAGTAAATATCTGTAATTACTCTCCTTCTAGAGACTTGACTGAATGAATCCTCCTCAATCAGTGAACTTAATTTTCAAGGATATAATTTCTGCAGAATGGACCGTAGTGCTTCCACTAGTGATAGAGGGCGTGGTGGTTTAGTGATTATTGCTGTGTCTAGTGTTCTAAAGTACCGTAAACTGCAGTTGTCCTCTGAAGAAGTCGAACAGCTATTTGGCGAAGTGAAATTTTGCAAGAATCAGTCAAATATGACATCTATTGTTTATATCTTCTTAAAATTTCTGAAATTTGTCCAGGAACTGACGTGGGCATCTTTGGTGATTATAATCTTCCGGAGGCAACTTGGAATAATGATGATGATACTTTTGTCCATTGCCCTGAGAATTCACCGGTACATAGATTGGCAGAAACATCCTCCTATCTCAATATGTTACAACTCAATAATGTTCCAAATGAGCGTAATATGTTTTTAGGTTTATTGTTTTCTAGTTTCTTTTATGTCAATGTATTACCAGCTTATGATATTTTACTCCCAGAGAGTGTACACCACAGAGCCTATGCCTTTACAATTTTAGCAAAGTGTGATTTTTATGAGCTCTTTTACGACTTTAGGAATGCTAACTTTACAACAATTAATGATTATTTATCATCATGTGAATGGGAGGCATTATTTGGTGATATAGATCTGTACCCGAGAGGTAAACTATCGTAAGTCAAAAACTAAAGTTTCGAGTAATGGATGAAACAAGCAAAAATCTCAACACAGAAAAGCGGTGTTTAACAAAATAGTATATTTTAATTTATTGTTTTTTTAATTTCGAGACAGAATTACTAGAATACCTCAAAATTGAGTCAAAATGGACTTAGAACTGTTTACCTCTGAGCTACTGAGACAAAATTGCTTGGATTTTTTTGTGTCTCAAAAGTGGATAAAAAATTCCTGTTACCCTAAATGTTGAAAAAAGATTGCCCATAAGATTTTTACAGAAACAAACCAATATGAGCGATGTCATGCAGTTCATATTGAACGAGTTCAGGAATCTTTGGTAGCCGATCCACGGCGCTTTTGGGGATACGTAAAGAGTTTAAGAAATTCAAATAGCTTACCTAATAGTATGCACTTAGAGGGAGTTAGAGTGCAAGATGGGAAGACAATAAGTAATTTGTTTGCAAAGCACTTTAGTGGTGTATAATATGATAGTTCTGTACATCCTGTACCCTCTTTTTTATTTGAAAAGACAGGAGATATTCTACTAAACAAAATTTCTCTTGAGGAAGTATTTAATAAAATCGTAAGTCTCCCAGTGAAGTTGAGCTTCGGTCCTGACCAAATTCCAGAGGTTTTTCTCAAAGAATGTATCTTTACACTTACTAAACCCTTGCATCTTATTTTTAACATGTGTTTTTCCTGAGACTTGGAAGCACAGTTATATTAAGCCAATTTTTAAGTCAGGAGATGTCGAAGATATTAGCAATTACAGAGGTGTATGTTCCCAGTCATCAATTCCGAACCTTTTTGATAGCTTGATATATGACCAACTGAACTGGTATTGCCGTGGGCTTGTAAGTAGCTGTCAATTTGGGTTTACTAAAAGTAGATCAACTGTGGAGAATTTGGTGTCTTATAAAGTTGATCTATTGGAGGCCTTGGAAAAGGGTCACCAGGTGGATGCAATTTACACAGACTTTTCCAAAGTCTTCGACAGAGTGAACTTCGACATTCTATTGGCAAAGCTGTCAGCTTATGGTTTTTTAGAAAACATTGCAAGATCGGTTGCTTTTGAACTAATCTATCACCCCTTAACAGGAATACGTGACATTACAAGTCACCCTGTACTATATTCTCTGTACAATTAACCAGCACAATAATTAGTTTATTTTTCACCCGTATGGATGCTAGTGACCTCGTTAACTGCGGAATAATCGTTACAGTACACTAATAGATACATATATCAAGATATTTGATATTTTGTGATCAATAAAACTTAAATCTACGACTATGCTCGGCTTTACTGACGTCCTTTACCTAAAAATAGAGAACACGTATTTTAATTCCAAAGAAAATTCTAAATGCGCATGCAGTGGGTGCTAAATATGAAGTTTATGTCTGGGTAATGAAACCGTTCAGAAGGATACGATCAGAGTATTACGACTACACGTCATAAAATACAGGATGCATATCACTTGCTTGAACGTGCGAAATACAAATATATGAGGAAAACAATGCTACATAAACCGGAGAGAATAGCTATAACCCCACCAACAGCTTTGTTTTTTTTTGCTCCCGGTTCAAATGTATATTAATATAACTTGCGGATGTGATAATACAAACAAAAGCAATAAATACAGGGAAAACCATATTCGTCTGACGGCTTGAGTTCAATGTGTACGAGAAAGAAGCGCGGGAAGTGTATATCAACACATGTTAGAAAGAGATAGAAGCCGTCAAAAGCGGGTCATATTGCAACAATTTCTCTTTATGAGCGAAGAACTGTTACTGTGGATTGGTATTCCACCATTTGTTAGCCAAAAGTCATCACAGTGCTTCGGAAAATCAACCCCGAAAGAAGAATCATCCTCCACCAAGACAATGCAAGCTTGCACACAGCCCAAAAAACAAGGCAGTATTTAACGGAAGAAAACGTGGAATTATTGGACCATTCTCCATATAGTCCCGATCTAAGTCCTAACGATTTCTTTACTTTCCCGAAAATTAAAAACAGACTGCATGGTCAAAGGTTCCAGTCACCAAAACAAGCAGTTGACGCTTTCAGAAATGCCGTTTTTGATCTGCCAGTAAACGAGTGGAAAAGTGCTTCTAAAATTGATTCGAGCGCATGCAGATATATATTAATCTTCGTGTAGAATACTTCGAAAAACAATAAAGTCATTTAAAACTACCTACCGTGTTGTTTTATTTCCATATGCAAAACTTAGAAGACATCCCTGCTGTACCAAAATTTGAGGAGGCGTATGTTTTGTTGTCCTCAACTTCCCAAGCTTTTCGAAAAGATTCTTATAGAGTGGACAAAACGGCCAGTCTGAGAATTCAATATTTTCCTCTTCAAACCATTGACAGAGTATCATGCTACCTTGTTGGAATACGTAGAATATGCTTCGACGGAGGACGAGGAGGTGTTTCCTGTTTAGAGGGCTAGTCTTAAACCTCCGCAAACTACTTCTCTAGCTCCCCTCCCAGGATCTACTTCGTGGAATATAGAGGCTATTTTTCAAATTGAAAAGATCGTGTTTCAAGAAAAATGATTGGAAGGATTATTTTGGACCAGGCAACCTTCACAAATATAGGGGCTTTAAGATGAATGAACATAGCAAAATAAAGTAAATTTTCCCGTAGGATTCTATGGGCTATGATATGCGATAGTCCTACGCGGCGGCCTAATTCCCGAGTGCTGATATCTGCATTGATTTCCACAATATTTGAAATTTGTTCCTCCTGTTCTACAGTAACCTGTCTTTCACGAGTGCGAATATTAGTGGGTTGAACACTTCCTGCATCTCGAAGTCTTTGGTACACTTACACAAATGTCCTTCTGTCTGGGTGTATCCGTTGGCGAAATCTGTCGCGATAAATTTGAGCTGCAAGATTTGAATTCTGACGAGCTTCACCGTAAACTAACAACATGTCGGCGAACTCTTGATTCGAGAGCATTGTAAATAAACACGACGACGTACGCGAACAAAAACAAAACAACACGCCCGATGCTCTGGTCAACAAAACGATAAAGTAATTTATCTATGCAAAACGATAACTAATCACTGTTACCGTTTGCGATTGATTGCCGGTTCGATATGAGTGATGAAAGACCGACGCGCTGTT